TTTTGCCCCTACCTCTACAACTCATACTAAATTTGGCGATCAAGAAACCTGCAATTTTTAAATTAATTTCAATATTTGTGAACTTCCTTAACTTTTGTGGAGCAGTATATAAGAAACCAAAAGAAATAATACCGACCAAAGAACGATTTCTTAATGTATACCTATAGATAATATTTGGTAGTTATTGGAACTAATAAAGCTTTGAAATAGGGCGTATTTCGGGCGTATTCGAACATATTAAATGTGCCGAGGAAACACCATTCTAATTAAATTAAGCAATCAGGATTATTACACCCACAACCATAAAACATTAACAGACAATTATTATACACGCATTAGATTAGGTACGAGCACATTGACATTGACCAACTCGAGAATTAATCTCTCTCCTCTAAGCCATTAATCAGATCGAATGCAAGCAACAGAATTAGATTCGGGAAAGCCATTTTTTTTTATTCTCTCTCGCGTTCGATGGCTGAGCGCGCGTTATTCGCATTCAAGGTCGACGCGCAACAATTAAAAAATTAAAAAGGACACGAAATGAGCTTATTCAAAACGTCGCGAGCGCACAGCAGTCGTAATTCGAGTTGTGGGTGGCCACCGTAACACTTTCGCCCCGTATATATCGTATCTCCATCGATCGCAATCAGGTCGATGCGGATACGCGCCAAGGACATCCGGCTCGAAGGACCAAATAGGATGGAAACATCCAATCCTTATTGTATAAAAGCGTCTAGAAGAAAGTCTGTTCGATAGAATTGTTGAGACTCTAAAGCCCTTTCTTCAAGACGCCTCTAACTCGAGATGTAGCACTGAAGATACAATTTGGCTAAATGAGCCTAATTTTGCAATATTGTCCCAACATGCCTGGAAGAACCACTCTAGTTCAACGAATAAGATAGTGCTATAAAGCTCCTTTTTGGTTAGAAGTAATCCTAATCCTGCTATAAGGTATTCCAATTTTGAAGGACTTAAATTTGAAGTCCACATTTGTCCACAAGTCCACAATTTGAAGACCACTCTAATTCAACAGATTAGATGACATTTTGACTACAAGTAATTCCAATCATATTTCAATCTGCCTCTATTTTAAAGAACCACTCTAATTCAACAGACTAGCTAACATTTTAGCTACTCCTAATCCTGCTTTAACATTCAAATCTGCCTCGAAGGATCGATCTATTTTGGAAAAAATGACTAGATATACAATTTAGCTCGAAGTGCTGAACAGATTATGCATATAGCGCTCGGTTTATCGACATTATAGCTCGCTTGAAAATTAGTTTACATCGATCGTTAGAACCGCTTCGAACGAATTTCCGTAATTCTTTCTCCGTATCGTCGGTAACCTAGTCACCTCATTACGTAAATAGTTATATTTTCCTCTAGCGTACGCCGAGAAAGTACCGGTTGATTTGATATACACCTAAAATGCGACGTTATGCACGTCTCAATTATGAGATGACAGCGTTGGTTTCATTATGTTACTCATACAAATACAACTGTAAAGCTGGTTTAATGTGTTTATGGTATTATTTCCTTCCTCGACAAATGCGATGCAAGAGTGTATAATGTATGAATGAGTATGGTACAGTTCATCGAATTTTCTTGATTTTTTTCTCGCAATTATACCATTTGAACGTAACGAAATAGCTGTATACAAAAACCAGAGTTTATCTAACAATGCGAAAACGTTTGAGGTCAATTTGAGATTTCAATACAGCAGTTTCCTAAGTGAAAGGACTGGATCGAATGAATGAGTTGGCTCAGATTCGACATTAAATCGAATTGTAAGTTTTATTTATCGGCTCGAGCTCGAAGAGAAAAGGCGTCCATTAATTAGGCTCGATTAATATAGATAACTTAATGAAATGTGTATTTAGGAATTAATCCGATTTTCTCACATGTTAGATAGAAGGCCGATTGTTAATGAACTTTTTTATTTTAATTAGTAAATACAAAAGAGAAAAAGACATTATTCATCGACGGCAAATGAATAAAGAATAAGAAACTTTGAGAATATCTATAGCATGTTTTGCCTTATTGTTTGCTAAATTTATAAGAATTATAATTATAGTGCCAGATTTAAGAAGAAAAATCGTGGATTTACTGCCAGAAGATCATTCAAAAAAAATAACAGGCACATATTTTTCTCACATTTACAAACAACACATCTCTCATCACCATAAGATGAATCTACAATTAATCCACTTTTATTTATCACATGTAGTTTATTCATTAATTTTAGTGTATCATATACACAAACAAATCAGAAGAGGTTTTCAAAAGAAAACATTTCACTGTATCTCTATTATCTACGTATTGTAATATTTGTTCCTAATAGGCAAGGTGCTTTAATTAACATACCTAGATTATAGGTATTTTCTATTTTTGCGATAGTGCGTTGGCTAATTAAGATATAATTATTTATTCGAATTTGCATTTCGTTTCGAACTAACGCGGAATAATTCGTAACAAATCTGCATTCATTACGTTCCTTTAAATAATGTATAGCTATCGATAATTTGAATTGCATTGATGCGTGCTTTCTTCAAATTAAACTGCTCTACATACGTGTTAAGGAAATGCTTGTGATTTTTAGATATGTAAATATTTTATATACTTTGAGCAAAACAATATTATCTATACCTAAATAAGAATTGAACATAAGAGGTTCCCAAAGTGAGTTTTGATAAAGGATTAGTTGATATGCGTTACAGTTTTCCTTATTTATGTGGAGCAGTTTATACAGAACAATGCTCGTAATAAGTAGGTAAAAATAAAAAAATTATGCAAACGCATAGACGATGCATTATGTAAATTTTTAATACCTATAGTTTGCTGCAACTAGAAATTATATTAAAGAAAAAAAATCTGTTGTATTCGCTATTAAAGAAAATCATTTTTCTTCAATGAAAAGTGTTATTAAATAAACTGAAGGGAAAATGCAATACAAAACAATCCTTGACCTAAAAATTGCAAAGAGACGACTGTAATTGGAAATTGTAGAAACAGTTCTTCGAATGCAGGTACACAAACTCGAGCATTTCTCTATCAATTTCCTCATCGAACTTCGACATTAAAAGGCATCTCTTATATAAACTCGCCGATCTGCGAGATAAAAACAACCTGTTCGATTTCCGAAGCGCCAAAGCCTTTGCGAACACCAAACAAAATCGATCAATCACTCTTATTACTGTTCTCTGTTCGAATCGAAAATCGATTCCATATCAGAATTCCTCCGAGTCTTCAACCTACAAGCAATGAAAAGACACCGTTGTATAACAACGTAACCCCCTTTTTCTCGCTAGCGACCTCGAATTCGATCGTAAGATAAATCTCTCATGACTCGCCAAGAAGTGTACCGACTATTGAAAGTGAATTTTAGTTCTCGTTTATATAACGCACCAGCTACATTCCTATTCGACTAGATTCAGTCGGGTTAAGAAATTTCGTCCGCGGCCGCAGCAAATGCCCTATATTTTATTGTTGAGCGAGAGATTTATCTTTTAGATGTAAATGCCATGTAGAAAAAAGAATGACCATTCAATTGCCAGTCGAGAGATCGGCCGTTAATGATATCGACGCTCAATTGCGGCATTTTATCTGCTCTGCGTTAATAGTAAATTGGATTTATTCGAAAATAATGGATTAGGGAGATAAAAGGAACTATGCACTACTCAACTTGCACTACTCAACCTGATAGTTTTTAACTAGTAAATCATAGGAAAAACTGTACCACAATTTTGTACGCATTTCCAAGACATTTCTTCCTGTAGAAAATTCGAAAACAATCCTGTTTATTTAGCCAGAAGAACCGGAACAATAATTTCCGCCTCCGATTAATGCGACCTCATCGATTCCTTCGTAATACTTCTTTCCTCACTTCATATCTCAGCAAATATAGCTGTAATTAATCACCAAAAATCCAAACAGTGAATGAAACGAGGAATGCACGAGCAAATGAATGAATGAAAGTGTTAACGAATAAATCATTGAATCAATGTAACATCCCCTGCAACTTCCAAACACTCATAGTTATTCATCGCTTAATCTCCCTTTCTCTGTGTACTATAATCAATCAATCGTCGCAACTGTTAATTTCCCGTGCACATCGAAAAGTGAAAAGCGCGCTTAGAAAATTCTCACCGGCAATTATTCCGAGCGGCCGGATCGCATTTCGATTAGGAATAGGTTTTTAGAAAACTGCAAGCGCGCAGCAGATTGGACGTTTACCCGGAATATAAATCGGTGCACTTTTCCGCGATAGGATCGTCGTCTCGCGTTTAATTCGTACGCGCGAGATCCAAGGTGAATCTTAAACATATGGCGGGCATTCGATCAAACGGTAAAATTTATTCAGAGTTTAAATAAATAAAAAAGAAAGCGGCGTATTCAGGGTGAAATTCGCCGGTAGTGACATGGCGCTGTAAATCTGTTTGAAGGATAATTGTTCGGTGCGGTGATTATTCTGTCTGATACATTTTAGAAATGAATCGGAACGAAAAACATAACGAATCAATGAGAAATTGTTATATTTTGGTGTGTATGTCTAGAGGATTTTTAAAATGTTTTAGCATTTTTAGTTGTAACACAATAATATGTAAGTTTACTGATAACATTTCGAATAACATCGTGTGTAAAATATTTTATAATTTCTCATTATTAAAAAGTTGTTTTTAAATTTTAGAAATGTTCGATAACTCATAGGAAGTATTTAAAACACATTTACATATTTAACAGTAAAATTCTAATATGCTAACAATCGATCTAATTAATGAGAGTTTGTAAAACCAAATTTTCGAAAAATGGCCCACTTAATTATACTCAAATATGTACTAACAATTGAAACCGTCTTTTGAAAAATAAATCAATGTGTGCAGTGTGTAGATTTGATGATCTACAGTGATCCTACTTAACAAAAACTTCAGAGGGTGAGCACATCTCCAATTCGAATCAGCAACAGGGCAAAATATTTGATAGATAAATAGGGAACTAACCTTTCCTCTTGGATCCCACCCTCACAGATCCGGTAAGCACAAGAAAACCCGCTAGTACTAGCGCGGTACGTAAACCGTTCATCTTTGAACCGATATGAAAGTCGCCGGAAAGCAATGGCTCGCGCGCGTCTCTTGCTTTCTGTCGGGCTACCCTATAATAGAGCTAGGATTAAATGGCGACGGAGCGGCGACTGCTCGTTCTCGGCCCGGCTCGGCCTTTTTAAAACCTTGCGTTCCTCCACCAGGCGCAGGAAGGCGGCGGCGGGGCGGCGGTTCTTCGGCGGCGTTTTGGCCGCGACGAAGAACAGGCGAGCGGAATGGATCGTCGAGCGGCCGCAAATCGCTAACCGCAAGGTTGCTCGAGTTAGATTTGAATGATCGACTAAGCTGGATACCCGCTATTTGATACTAATAATGGGAAACGGGATTGTTTCCACTGAAGGAATTAAATTTATACGAAGGATACACTGAGACTATTGTGTAGGAAACATGGAAGTATTGGTAGTAACAGCTGGGACATGCTGCATCAATAGGAACCCCGAGTTTTGGAGAATTCTGGTGGAAAAATTCTGCGGGAAGTTATATTACTAATAAACTCGTTTCATAATTAATTCTGTTGGATGTAAAATTGGAAACGTGGGTGTTGGTCATTCGGAAACCATCATTAGGTATTCCCGAAAAAATTACTTGGTAATCATTAGGATTTTTCGCCACATAATCGTTATGAAAGAAGGGAAATTTTGATAGTTTCGATCTGTTGAGTCAATGGTTTGTAAAACCACATTTCTTTCGGATTATCTTCCGAGAGCTTATTACAATTCATAAAATTTCCGTATAAAATTAGGCAAATTCGTACGCAAATTAGCCCATCAAGTCGTAACAATTTTTTTACGAGCACTTATACCCGATCACTAATCACCATTATCAGTTAATTAACTATACGTATTATTTCCAATTTTCTATTCTAATACATTATTAAAGCGATATTCGCAACCGTAAATATGTAGTTATATGTAAACAATGACAATGTTTTTTTAAATCGAAATAGTCCTCGATTTTGAAGCGTTTATCAGATATCACATTTCCTTATAGTGTTGGTTGGTTGATTTTTATAATTTGTTTGCTAATTTTATTCTAATTGCAAAGATAATACGAATACCGTTCGTTTATGAGTGGGTTGATTAAAAGGAGTATTTGCTTGTATACTTCAAGTAAAAGCTTTTACTTAAAGGAAATAATTTTCTATATTCTGCCTCTCCATACGTTCTACGTTCACGTATTTCCCTACTTTTTCTAGCATAATTCACAAAAAATGCCATTTTTAACACCTTTTTTGGTGAAGCAGTTGATAAAAAGTTACTTTGTGGTCAGCTTCTTAAAAACTGCACCAAACGCTCCCAAATGGAGGAAATACTAGACAACATTAGTAATTTCTGTAGAATCTACTCCTATGTATTGAAGTAAATAAAGCAAAATTTGAAGTAATTGCTCCTAGTACTTACTTTAGTTTAACTTTAAGAATTATATGAAGTAAATGCTATAATTTTTTGAAGTTAAAACTACGAAATTAAGCATTTACTTGAGGTACAAGCAAATACTCCTTTTAATCATACCACTCTGTGGCATTTCGTTCGCTTTGGGTGCAATTCAAAAATTCTGAGGATGGTTGGGGGTTTGTAATAAAAACGACACACATAAACAACAAAAATAGAAATATTTTATTACAAATTTGGGGTAAGATATCACAATTCTTTTAAATTATCATTTTTTACACCTTCAACCATATACCAGAAAAAAATACTATAATAAAGGCTACATTAATATCGGTTGTGGTGAAATCTACCACTGAAAAGGAATGCTCGACAAGAAACTAAAATTTGTATTATAATAAAAATATATATAAAAAATAGGTCATAATTTACAAAAACCTACAGCTACAATAAAATGGCAGTTAATACAAATTCCCAAAAATACAACAAAGTGTTTAAAAACCGTAAAAACTATAATTTTTTTAAATAATTCGAGTAAGAACGAATTGTTTTAATCAATATGGATTATGGTCTGTCAGTTTATTAATAAACAAATAACGTTCAATTAGGGCCATAATAAGAACAACAATGTGGTCAATTCTATTGAGTTGAACAAAGAAAGTTTGTTAAAATAACCGTGGTTAGAGTGAGAAAGTTGCAATACCCCAATATGACTCTTCCTTTATCTTTTATACGAGACTTATGCATGTTGTCCTTGTTGCACCCATTGGCCATATTGCGTACAAATTTGCCCTTATCTGTATAGCAATAAACAATTTATCAAAAACCCCATAATACTCTTTGAAATATCAAAAACACTAAATAAAATACATGTTATTTCTTCATACTGTGAACTTAACTGTTGGTCCAAAAAACAACATGTCTATTCGACAGCGCCTTAAAGGTAAGTTAAAAATAAAAATATATTATTTAAATTATATAAAAAATCTATGAATAAATAAATACTAATCACTGTATCGTCATGGAATAAACGCCTCTATTACAGATTATAGTAATCCTTAAAAACTAGGCTAATTTTATACTGCTTACATGTACATACATTAATATGTTAAAGGAGGCAAATTGTAAACTAGAAAATTTACAAATTTGCACTAAAACTTGGTCATTTGGAATATCAACTAGCCGTAGAGGACGGAAATCGACGTCCAATCTTTCTGTTAATTAAATACCCTTTGTTCTTTACACAATTCACAATAAAATATCTAAATACAAATCATCTTTGCACTTAATTTCAGTCTCATCTTTCCATTTTTTCCACTTTACTAGCACCTTCACACATAATTCCTTTAGCCATACTGTAATAATACTCTATTTTTATGTTACATATACACTATCGGTTGTTAAATTTAGTCATCTAGGATTTCAAAACGCGTATTATTCCTCATTTTTTGTCTCAAATTTAACTACATACTTTTAACATGTATTTTTTAAGAGAGCATATCGTTTAAATTAGTGGATTAATATCGAGTAAGAGTCACACAATTGCAATTTACCAATTACAATATTAATATTTAGAGTCTAACAAAACATAATTGAGAAATTGTAAGTAATATCTCGGTTAAATATTCATTCGTGTGATGTAAGAATGGATTTACCAATGCTTAGAAATTAACCATCCAAATGGTACGAGAAACATCATAATCTCCTCGCTAAATTGACAATTAACAGTAGGCTTTTAATCAACAGTTAAGAACTACCTATAGCCGCAAAACCGACCCGGTTAAATGATGGTACTGTGCCTGCTACTGTGCTCGAGCGCAGCCAGCACGTCCTGCTTCTGCCTCACGTACAATCTCCCTTTCCTCCAAGGATTCTGCAACAGCAACGGCTTGAAATCGTCCCGGAGACAGCGCTCCCTGGCGCCTATCACGGCCACCAGGCAGAAATTGCTGAGCTTGTCCAGGTTGTACACCGGCCCCTCTTTCCCTTTCAGCACCACGGCCATGTTGAGCTGCTTTATCACCAAATCCACCACTTCTCTAGCCGTCGTTCGCGGAGTAACGTGCAGTTTCAGACTCGTGCCTAGAATAAATAAGATGGTATTAATAGTATAGTTGCTTAGTAACAAGAGGCTATGCAGCCAGCTATTAGAGTTTGTAGTATTCTACCTGGAACCTTTCGATTGGAGACTCAATTAGAGAGTGTAACAGTAAGTTTATCTATTAATAAAAAAGAAAATAAGGTGAATTTACCGCTAGCTAGACCGGTTTCGTAGGCGGCGAAAACTTGCAAAATCCCACTGTCGTTTTTGAACGGATACCGCAATACTCTCGAGCTTCGAACGGTCCTTTTGCTTTCGGGTTCCTCGGTGCATTCGTCCTTTAGCTCAGAAACCACCTTATTGATGTTATTCAAGCTCTTCGATAAGTGCGTTTCGACGTCCGGATGGACAGTGTTCGAATGGCCCGACTTGAACTTGAAGCTCAACGTTTGCTTGACGTTCGTCATGCTTTTGGACGAGACCAGTTTGGATTTCTTCCGCTTGTTTTGCGGCGGCGGCGGCGGAATGAGCGCCTCTTTATCGCCCAATTGGGCCAAACCTTCGGTCGGTTTCGGCTTCAGGGCGACGTTGAACGAAAAGTTGCATATGGTGTTCGATCTGGCGCGCTGCGGGTTGCATTTGACGCTGATTTTCGTCAGGATGTTGTCGCTTTTCGATTCGCCGATCGGCCGTTTGGATTGCTCGTCGTCGGGCGGATTAATCGTGGCGAATTCCTTGGTTTTCAGGTTTTGCTCGCTCTTGCTGAACTCGTTTATGTGAGCATCGGCGGCTATTGTATTGCCCGGTCCGGGCCAGGAGCCTCTTCCGAAGGATTTGTTCAGCAAGCTCTCCTCCGGTTTGACCTGCAACGTTTGCGGAACGGCGCCGAACATGCGCGACGATCGCTGAAGGAGGGTCCTGCAATGAAAATTCATATTCTCCAGTTTTAACTCGCTCTGATATTATATTATTAGAAACTGACCTCGTAGAGGTTCCTTGTGCTGTTCGATCCCTGGCAAAACAAATAACGTTCATCAACCACCTCACGGTCTTCCATATTGCGTTCAAACGTTGCTCTAGCTCTTGCAGTTTCATTACTCTTTCCTTCGCTATCAACACTTCGCTGTTGGAGAAAGCTTTTCTGTGCAGGTGATTAGCCGTAATAGTATCGATTTCTAACAGGCAGCTCAGTTTAGAAAATTTCTGCGTTATAGCCGTTCTGTACGTATTGAGATGTATCATTTCGAATACCTACAACAAACAGAAGTTAATAAAAGTATGAACATTTCGACTCAAAACTAGCCCAAGAATCGCCCGTTAAAATAAGTACATTGCATTAATTAACACCCTGTATTAAACAGAAGAGTTTTGTTACCTGTAGAGGTAAGCTTAGTAAATCGTCCCTTTGTAAAAGCAGGTCCCTTTTGGCCGGTATAGAACACGCCAGTTCCGCCGAAGGACACAGCAACATAAAACTAACGTTTTCCGTTAGATTTATAATTTCCGAATCGTATATTCGATGAGCGAAGACGTCTTCTCCGTTTATATCCATGTAATTGAACAACCTTTTGCAAGCGCTCGTCACCAGTTCGAGGAACGTCTGATGCTGCTCGGTACCGCTGATCGTGCTTTTAGGGCAATAATGCAGCTTCAAGTATTGCCATTCTTCGCTGCAAGAACGTATTTTACAATTTGAATTACCGACTCAATTAATATCTTACCTTGAAACGTTTGGGTTGTCCCTGATTTTACAATGCGGCAGCATATTCGGGGATTTCGAACCGACTACGATCTTAATAGCCTCCACGGAGCTTTCCATCTTCAAATAGGCCAAGTACAAGCCCCTGCTCAGCTTCAGCGACGACACTTGGTGGTAAATAATTTGCTGTTGAACGCTAGCCATGAGGAGCTCGGACAGGTTCAAATCGTCGCTCAGCACGATCTTCTTGAACACTTTGTTAGTGGACACCCATTTGGAGTTGAGCAACGATATGCTTTTGGGGTATTTGATGTAGTTCACGGTGCTGATGACCATTGTGCCGCGGGCGTCTTTCAAAGCTTTGTAGTAAATTTGGCCGAGATTTTGGACGCCCAGCGACGATTGCATCTGTATGACGGCCGAGAGGATTTTCGAACGGAAGTGTATCGAGGAGGAAACGTTCTTTTCCATTTCCAATCGGATGAGTTTCGTGTCGTTCCAAGTGCAGGACACCTTCATCAGCCAATGGAGATCGTTGTGAACGGAGCTCGGGAATGTCTCGTCGATTTCGATAACGGGTACAAAGTCCTCGTTTGTTACTAGTATTCTGTCTTCGTGATATAGAACGCACGCTAGGTAAACGCCTCTGCGGAAGGATATTAAAGATTTTTATGTTGTAATGATAAATGATGAATGGAAACATACCTACGGAGGTTACGTTGAAATTTACTGGCTACTGTAAATAACTGCTTGATGGTTTTCTTCTTTGGCATTTTGCGTTGCTGGTTTGGTTGGGGTTCTACCATTTCGATGTCGGGTCTGTATAACTTCATTTCTTCTATTAATTCGTCCAATTGAGCTTCCGCTTTGGCGTATCTAAATTAAATATAGTACGTTTAAATCACTGTTTAGTTTATTTGAAATTAACTAATTTACCTATTCACCCCGGTTTCCATCGATTCGACGGCATTATTATCCATGTTCTCGGGCCAAGTAAGAGGGCCTGGATCGTGAATACCTTAATAATAAATAAAATAATCTGTTTACTCGATTTGTTTCCTTTCTAATAAGCCGGGTAATGACAGTTAATGCGATTTTCATTCACCAAAACCGCAATTTTTACCACGAGCGATAAAATAACAAGATAAAATTCCTATTTTACTTTTGAAATCAAATACTCGGAAGATCTAGTCACCAATACTCGTAAAGGATTAATGGCAAGTAAATATTTTTTTTAAATAATTTGAATACCAATTGAACACTTTACATAACAATATCTAGAATTCCAATTTGATTATTTGCTGCTACCGTATGAGAAACCGTGCTTTCCCTAGCCATGTACGTAGATAAATAACAATTAGAGAAAGTAAAATATTTAGCCCTTGTAATAATAATTCATGCAGGATAATAACTCACCTGGAAGGTACTGAGTTGAATTAATTTCTAATTTAGCTTGATTCATTATAAAACGATTTTCCGTTGAATTTGTACGCTTAAAAATAGCAGATTCCTTTTGATTGTGATTATGTGCAGTTTCATCGTCCATTCAAACGAATCCTAGAACGCTAATATTTACAAAAACAGTAATTTTACTAATTTATCCAAGGAAACAAGCAAATAATTAGTGCACTAATTTCAATTTGATTGGAAAATACATCAAAAAAATGTTGAAATGTTAAAATATAGGGCATGTTAATTAACGCAAAATTCAAGTAAGTAAACTAAACTATTAGCATTTCTTACCTTTAAATCAACAAACCAACATCAAATACGATTCGATAAGTTAAAATAAACGATAAATTTGTTTGTTGTACAACAAAGTTTTATTCCACAAAGTCACAACATAACCTCTAAAATTCAATTTTCTTCTTTTTTACTAAACGTTTTGACGTTGACGTTTTTGAATAAACCACAGAACGAAAAGTTTCTGGAATTGACGTTAATGTCAGAATCGTACTTACACTCATCGCATTTGACATACAGGACCGCATTAAGCCCATTTATTTCAATTAGAAATATTTAAAATGCGAACAGGATAATTAACTGTGATAACTGCCAAGGTTTAATAACTTAACAACGCAGATTATTCATCAATTTATTGGGGTTTATAATTATTATCTAAATTTGGATTTTAAATAGAATTGTTTTATATTTAATAATAATAAATGAGGTAATAATTTCGAAATGGCTAAGGAAAATGTTAATTTTTGGGAAAAATTAAAGAAAACATTACAATTTAACCTATAGGCATCATAGAATCTTGGTACATACATACCTACGTATCTAACGCTCAATAAATAATTAATTTAGACTTCACTTTAGACCAGCAAAAATGCAATAAAATTCATGTCAAACAGAAATTTCAGGTGTTAACAGAACAATTATGAATTTAGTTTGTAAGTATCTACTTATGATACTTTTTTATACAAAATAAATTAATTACATCTATTTGTTAAACTATGATTATATGCAATTATTATGCACTTACATTATAAGCACGCCATTCACCAATTAAAGAATTCATGAATTTATTTTTATAGTACCTACTGAATTTTACTTATCATTTCCTTAGAAGTGTCAACTTCAGTGTATGGTATATTTATTTGAAATTGTATCAAAAATTAATTATTATATAAAATAGTTAAAAATATATACCTTTTTTCATGTAATTTTGAAGTATTTTTAATAAGGTCGGCTGGCAAATAAGTTGGAAGAAAATTCTGAACGCCCTGTACATGAAATAGAATCTGACAAATCGATGTTTCATTGCGGCACATTTAAAATTGATGTCATTGATGTTAGCCATTATTTTGACACTTCAATTAAACGAACACGTAAAATCCTAAAATTCTTATCTTTAAGGTTTTAATGAGTATTCGGGAACGATTCAAAATAGCTTACGAAAATGTGGGCTTTTGTGCGGATAACGTATGGTGCAAGGACATGGATTCTTACCAACAAACGAACATGGATCTACTTATGAGAGAAAAAGGACTGGTCGAACCGAAACCGTTAGAATTAAGACCCAGAACAGTAAGGGATTGCATACCGTATAGCAAATTGGCGAAGTATTCCAATTATGAATACAACGATTCGAGGGAACTTTCGTATACGCTGGACGATTTTAAAACGCCGTCGAATTACAACGAATACTCGTTCGCCGGCGATGCCGAAAAGGAGCCTTGGATGTCGGAAGAAGTCGACAGGTTTTTTAAATTATACACAGGTTTTTATAAGAATCTAAACGACTCGAAAGAGTACCAAAACGTATTGAATTTCGCGAGAAGCTTCGAATCGCCGTTTCTAATGTGCAATTCGCTCCAAGAATATTTCCTCAAGCTCCAGGTCACTAAGGATAGTGTGCAAAAGCTATGGGACACCGATCCGATGGAATCGAGAACATTCATGTTTCGTAGCCTACACTCGGTTAGAGAGAAGAAATCTTTATTAGTTTATAAGTCGCCCGCAGGTAGTGTTTTTGTGTCAGAATACGATGACGTAAGTAGTGAATTAAAAGAGGATTATTACGAATGGGATAAGAGCGATTTCGACCAACACAACGTCGATCATTTAAATTTAATTTCTAGTTCGTTGAAGCCGGTCACCAATAAGGAGAATAACGTCGAAAATCCGACGGATCCCATGCAGAATCGCCGCCTCTATTCGGCCGTATTGCAAGGATTCTCCTCTAACAAAATAACGCCGACTTCAGCCGACAGTCAAATGACGATATTGCGGAGAAATTTCGCCAAGACGAACGAAAATGAAATGAAAAAAATCGGCAGCGTGAATAATTTTAGCAAAAGAAAAGTGGACGCCAACGAAGCGACGACGGGCAGTAAAATCATGCCGAAATTATTCCCGAACGTCGCCTTCACGAGCTCGCGAAGCGTACAAACCACCGAACTGAGAATGGACGGTAACCCACCGCCCATAACGAACCAATCCCAAAACACCCACTTCCCTTTAAGTCAACTACCGTCCCAACAGCAACAACAACAACAACAACCGATCACCCGATATAGACAAAATTTCGTACCGAACAACTACCAATACCCGTCGTTTTACATGTTCGTGCACAACTCGTTCCAACAGAACTACCTGCAACCCTTCTACAATCCGGTGTACCTCCATCAACGGAGCATCCCTGCGGGCGTGAACCTGGACAACAGGAATGTCCTGCAGAGGAACTGCCAATCCCACATCCCGTCCCATTACGCCGGCTTCTTGTCGCAGAACCAATTCGCGACGAACTTCCAGAACTTCGATCAACCGTCGACGTTCAAGAGCAAAACGAGAACGAAAACCGAGCAGCTGCAGAAGAAGACGTTGGTCCGGTCGCGGAGGAACCTGTCGCTGGACGACGTGAAGAAGCCCGAACGGGCGTTTTCGTTTTCGAATTTGACGTCGCGATCGGACTGCTCGTTCGGCGAGACGGCGGCGGACATGGACGAGCTGGTATCGAAGATCGTGAATTTAGTTTTAGACGAATCGAAAATGGATTGCATCCTGCCGATCACGGGCAGCCAGTCGGACGAGCTGGAGCGGCAGGCGCTCGAGCAGTACACCAGCTCCAGCGACAACGTTTTCCAGGAGCTGGAAAGGCAGGCGGCCGAAGAGTACGAGGACAATCCGGAAAACTACTTAGGCCCCCCGAATTATAACCATTTGTTCGGGGGGTTTTTTAAACAAATGAAATATTGTATATCTTAATTGATAAGGTTTTTAAATATTTAGGTTTTCAAGACGCAATCGACGATATGTAAAAGAAAAAATATATATTTGTAAATGTTTGACAAATTATTAAATAAAATGTAAATTCTTAAAACGTTATAGAAGCATGCAAGTTCAAAAATTTAAATAAATATGGCCCTTAAACCTTGTAATTTTATTGGATTTTATTCAAACACTATCAACAAGCTATGTTATTAGTATTTTTCAAAATTGGTATAGTAACTATCGCTCTACAAATACAAACTATAACACCCCAAAAATTACCACACATATCACTTATATCAATCATTTTTAGAAACCCCAATATTTTTTTATATTTCTTGTAGTATTTCAATCCAATCTGGCACAGCTCAAATTCTAAAAGAGCCTTGCTTTATAATAATTACTTCGTCAATCGATAGGATATTTCTCGACCTGCCAGTTGCGATACAATCAATCTGCTTATACCAATCTAATAAATTATTCCCCACAGCCATTTACTGTTATAAAAAGAGCTCATCATTTACTAATATTTCAATACGAAAGTACAGCACAAATCGCCTTCGTTCGGTTGATTCGAATGATTCGATAAAAATAAATTGATTTTGAATTTATTAAAATCACAAATATTTAGGTATATCTGAAAGATCATCAATTTACTAAACTAAATAATTCCGATTTTATTGTTGATCGTATAGAACATGAAACAAAGACAAACATTGTCATTTTTCTACGTTATTAATCATTATATTAGAGATATTCGAATTGCGATTGTCCAAATAAGCAGACTTGAAATCGATAGACCCATTACAGGAATCGATTTGGATTGAATTGATTCAGGACTGCACCCTATTTTTCCGTACTCACTGCAATGAACCTGAAAATCACGCATTCATTTCACCTTAAAAAATAACAAATAACCACAATGTAACTATAATAAAAAAATCACAAATAAATTGGATAAAGAAACTTACTTTCAACATCGACGAAGACATTTTCATTAAAAATCTTATGCTGAAATTGGCCGTTTCGCTACCGCATTTTTTATTCACCGCCGCTGTCGAACATTCGGCGTACCTTTGGAAGGCACTGAAATTTTCAAAAATATCACAATGTTGCCACATTTCGTATTTTTGAAAGTTTTACTGAAGTACTCACCAACAAATGTTTTTTATGACCTCGTTTGGGGCCTCTCTTCGCCTTCTCAATATGTTCTCAAAATCGTTGTGAATTTGTTCCAGTTCCACCGAATTCGATTTAAAGCGTTCCATGGACGTCGTGTAAGTTTCGAAGCAAATTTGATTGTCCATAGACGCGTTTATCATACAAGGTGCGTACTTCAGGTACTCTAGAAATTGTTACAATAACTATAATCGTAAAGATACTATTTACTTTTGGTTGAGTTCCTAACACTAGATATTGTGAATTGTGTGGAGTTTAAGCAAATTTAACTAATTCTAATACCTACCAGTTTGGTAACGTCCAGGTCGGCATAAATCGTGTATCATCAAGCCAGTGCCGTAAAAGACTTTCCTGAAATGCATCCTGTCTTCCTTTACCATACATTTCCTGGTGAAGCCGTGTATGCACTTGATGGAGTCCTTCAGGTTTCTGAAAACCCCAGCAATTTTTTAATCGTGCTTGAAAGTTGCTAATTTAGAGTGGTTTCTTACGGGCACATTTTTTCTAAATCCGATTTGCTGTTGAACAACGGCAAACCCGCGTCTGTTGTTAATTCTGAAATGCGTTTAGTGCATTCGATTAGGTTTTGGAAACTGCATTGGTCTTCTGCTTGGGCTCTCAGTAAATATGCTGAAAAATATGTATGAAATTTTCTATATATTATAAAAGAAAAGCATTTTTGAAGAGTATATTAAAAAATTTCTAATTAAAATTATGTGTAAAAAGGTATTTATTATAGTAAGTAATGAACAAACAAAAGCTTAATAAACCTTTATTAAAATTAAAGTGTCTAAAAACTAAAAATACTAAAGTTATTAAAAAAATATTAAAAAATAACAATTTTTCTGCAATTGTATTTATATCTACGAGACGTGTTAAAATCTATTTTTCCATAACAATTAAACAGATCTCAATCGAATTCAATAAATGAAATACAAGTATAAATAATATAAAAATGGCATGAACAAAATTAACGAAACCCAAAAATAATCATGACTTACCAATTAAAACAAGTATCGAACCCAGCCCAAAGTTCACTTTAACATCCTCGAAATTATTAGGCATACTTTGTAGCTTTTCCGATATTTTTATTTACGAGAAAACAAGAACGGACCGGCCGCCCCCCGAGAAGTCGTAAAATTCGAAAATACACGTGCAGTCGATTTTAGGGAAAACGGAAACGCATTCGCGTCGCTCGAAGGAAGACTCCTTGTGTGCGTCCTATTTCGGAAGGATAACGTTTCCCCCCGATGAAGATGATTAGTCCTAGTTATACGTTTGCGTTGTTCATACTAAAATTCTATACATATACACACACACTGCAATAAATCTGCTCGTGTTCTATATTGTCTATGTAGCTAATATTTAATAAATTAGGCGAAATCCGTAGATTAGTAATATACAGGGGTGGTTTCGGTTTTATAATAAAATTATTGGTCGGATAATTGTTATATTTTTCAATTATGTAGGTACTTAAAATAAACTATACTTAAGAACAACAAGAACTCCAATAGATAGCGATTTTAGATCTTAGATTCTTAGATTTTAGATTTTATATTCAATCAGTGTTACCAATACAACTACTTAAAATACTGCCAATTATTTAAAACTTATTACCTATAGGGTGTTTCTAAATGATGACTTAGAAATTCCTAATCCTACAATCTAATCCTGTAAAATCTATTATTACTTAATTTATTTTTTATCCTTCGAGATGAACATTTACTCATTATAAATTCAAGGTCTGATTTAATATAAGGTGGCATTTGAGTAACATTATTAAATATCTAATGTTATAATATGAAGACTTCTTGTATAAACATACAATCCTATTTGGAGTGTATTAATACAATATTACTTACTAAGGTACCTAAATGAAAGATTATAGAAAGTGAATTTAGATTAATTTATTTTCTAGCCCGTTGCAATAACATTTTATCGATTTGGAAAAGGAAGAAGGAGTTATCCTGGCGGAGGCGGCACGGCTGTAAAACCTTTATATATGCACAATGGGATTAATATAGGACAAACAGCGTACGTAATAATCCTAAACAACAGGAAAACTAATTGTGTCGGATCCGGCTCTAAGACTGTATCCTTTATATGCTAAATTATGATTAAAAGCAACTGCGGGATGATCTTGTATCTAACTAATTTGCGAAAATAACGTAAGTACTTCTGACATGGAACAATCTGTTGCCTTGGCAGAACTTGTTAGGAACATGTTCAGACCTCTCTATTATTTATGTTGCTCTACTAACTCTACTTAATTAACTTGTTTTGTTCGAAAAGGGTTGACTTTTTACACCCGGTTTAACTCGCTCTACATTTATTTTATACATCACATCTCAAGTGAACTCTAACAAACACATGCAGAAAAATGTACAAGTTCACAAGTTCACTTTGAATTATTATTAATATTTCGTTTTATTTAGAAATAAAGTCATTGAAACTAAATGTACCATTTCTAGTCCATGGTGATACAACAGTTCCTCCTATATTATTCCTAAAGTAATAATTATTGTTTGTCTAAATAATTCTCGATGTTTCGTCCGGTTTTTCATGGAATATTATAGCCCGAAAACCATCCTATAATTTAATTTGTGTTTAAATAATCAAAACATGTCCAAAACGCTACAATCAAACCGAGTTGCGTATGATTATCTGTATTTTTTTTTTGGAATAATTCATTCGAAAGGATCACGCGATTCAATTAAAAAAGACCTTAAACTCGAACGGTTAGTCAAAGTATATAAAAAAATAATTTTCGCGACGCATGATTGACATTTTCGATTAACTAGTTAATTATTTTGTCTATTATTTTTGCAGGAGAACTCGCCAGTTTCTCCTCCTTAAGGAGGATCTTACCTTCCTAGCCAATTATAATTCTTGGTTTAGTACCCAATATAAAAATTATTTTTCAAATCCAATTACAGTGTAATATAAATATGACAAGCGAAGTTACTGTTGCGTTTACATGTGTATCAAGATACCTAATTGTGTTTAATATAGGTGATTAATTTCCATTTCCATTAATCCTACTCTTTTTGGGTTTTTTTGTATAAATATCGTGCTGGTAGCAGAAGAATCGTACATTTAATAACATTAAAAAATAGTGTTAAGTCATTACGAAATTACAGATTTAATATTAGGTACAGCTTCTCTGTAAATTATAGTTCTATTGCTCAGAATCAAAATGGTGCTCTCCATGGACAAATGGAAAGGCAAAGTTGCTGTTGTTACCGGAGCCAGTTCAGGAATAGGCGAAGGAATTGTAAAGAAACTGGTTGAAGAAGGCCTGGTAGTAAGTAATTATCTTCTATTATTTAGCTAGAAATAACAGGGTGTTTCTGAGGTGGTTGGTTTGGCAAGGAGATTGGAGCGTATGCAGAAACAACAACAAATGTTGGTCCATCAACCGGGAAAGTTTCATCCAGTTCAATGCGACATAGGCAAGGAAACCGATATATTGCGTTGTTTCGATTACATCAAAGAAAACATCGGCCCCGTCCATATTTTGGTGAACAACGCTGGTTGTTGTATATCTGGCACTTTATCAGAAAGCGATACGAATAGTTGGAAAACGATTATGGACGTCAATGTGATTGGTAAATTGGAATAAGTCTATTGATCTCTTCTTCATGTAGTTATTGATTTTAAAGGTTTATGTGTTGCGACCAGAGAAGCGGTCAAAGTGATGAAGAGCAAGAACATCGAAGGTCATATAATCAACATGAACAGCCTTGCGGGGCACTTTAGAGTCCAAGTAAGCGGCCTGAATCTCTATCCTGCGAGTAAACACGCTGTCACATCCATATCGGATACCCTCAAAAATGAATTCGCCACTAGTAAAACCAAAATAAAAGTAACGGTAAATAATCCATTTTCCAATCTGCATTCAAACAGTTCACAAAATAAGTAGTACAAATTTAAAATTTTCGTATAGTGCCATGTCTGATTATACTCAGTTCGCTATTAGGAGATAATTCCTAAATTTTAAGGCTTTTATAATTGTGTAATTCTAATTCTCTATAAAGTGACCAGAACTCAAGGCACAGTCGTGCTAATTAAGAGGAAGTAATAAAATTAAACATTGCTTTCAATGATCGGTACTGTACACTATACCGATAATTATTACATGTATTACCACTAATTAATTTATTAGTACCTACTTTTAAGAGAGTTTCCTATCTCCTGATGGCGAACGAAGTATATAGTCTAGTACAAGGCAATATCTCATTAGAGATAAATTGGTTATTGTAATCTTTAGTTTGAGTCGTTTTTTAGAGCATAAGTCCCGGAGTCGTGGATACGGAAATTTTCGCCGTCTCTGGTTTGAACGAATTCCACAAAGCCGTCGAGGAAAACTCGGTACCCTCGCTTTCACCTGATGATATAGCTGACGCTGTTTGTTATGTTTTATCTACACCCCCGATTGTTAACGTAAGTTAGTGTCTCTTACATTCAATTCGAGCTTGTATAAAAGGTCGAAAATGGGGCATGTTATCAGGACCCATGGATCTAATGGCAGGTTTTTTTATATCCTTGAATAACCATGAGAAGAGAAGATTCTCGGCAAGGTGTACGTGAAACTTGCGAGTCCGAGAAGTATTCACAAATAATTGATAATGGTGTAGTTTTATTTTAATAATTTTAAGATGATTTTGATGATTTTTTTATTGAAATATCTACATGTTTTTCAGGTATCGGAGATGATTATTCAACCAGTAAACGAGACAATATGATCATTAGAACTTGAATAAAACAAAACGCATTGTACTTGCATCAGATTTATTTAGTTAATTTTTCTTTTTCACATTGTACTTTAGCATTGGATTTTTGTTTGAAGGAAATGATCACTGTAGTTTTTGTATCTTTGTTACAGTTATAAGTACAGTAAAATTTTATATTTTTCTCGCCATTTTTCTGAATTTATATCTTCTCAATAAGCTTTTTAAACTAAACATTTGCCTTTTCAAAGGCAAATGTACTGAATATTTTTTATATGTGTAATGTATAATAGGTTGCCTAACAGAAAAATGAATGGAGGACTCTGCTAACAATAAAGAATAATGAATAAAGTCATTCATAAACTTCGTGTTGCCAAACTTCCATTTGGGTTTTTTATGAATCTATATCGTTACCTCAAAATACACAAAAAAACATTTTTCAAATTCTACTAAAATCTACTATAATACGAAATAATTAACAAGGAAATGATCATGATAAGGTCAATTGAATAAATAACGAAAAAAGAGCAAACAGTTAGGTTTAAAAGGTAATCAGGCAACGCTGTACTGACATCTTTAATGCAAGCATAACACCATTGCCAAACTTATTTTAAGTCACAGGTTTAAATATTTATATAAATTTATTTTATCTAAATAAACTTGAAACATTACATAATTGATTGAGACCGATTAAAAAACAAAATTACTTTTATTTACACATTAAATAGTTAATACAAACACACTTAAACCTCAAACAATGATAAAGCTTATTATATAATCCACTTTAAATTCCTAATCGTGATAAAAAAACCAGCAGCGAAACATTTATTCACAATTTTTTTCAATAATTACCGGTTAATTTTATTCAATGTCGGCAGGAATATTTTCAACTTCATCTCTTCATGTGCCTACGTGACTTAAATCCGGCAACGCCGGCGAGATCTCTTGACAGCTGACTCTCCTTCGACTTGTTTTCGTTCCGTCTCTGTCGCGCCACCATTTCCCTTTAAATACAATCCGACCTCCTTGTTTGTCATCAGTGTATTTGTGTTGTTTGTGCGGTGTACGTGCAGCAGAGACCATGTTTTCTTTCAATAAATTGCCCATCAACAGAGCGAGCCGGGAACTTCGAAACTCCCTCAAACGGCAAATTAGCAAGACCTCCAGTGCCCCCAACAGCGACGCCGTGTCCAGGAAAGACGGTCAATTAGGAGTTAACGCCGATCTAAAGCCTTTCTCTAATGTTAGAGCTGCCAATGATAAATGGACCATACACAGCAAACATAATAATTCGAGGTAGGTAAATAGGTTTGGGTATCGCAGTAGGCTGGTTTTTTGAGGGTTGACAGAAGTGACATTTTTTAAAATATTTTTGGCAAATTGAATGTTTACAAAAAAAAAAACAATAATAGGAGGTGAATTACCCGGGGCAATTAACTTTGATTTAGTTGTTTTTTATGATTTTTAGTTACAAATATGATATAGGGGTTAATTTGTTTATGGGGGATGGTTTGTTTATGTTTTGTTGGTTTTGTTTACATCTGATAAAATGAGGTTATGAAAGTTACAAACAGTTTTAAAACCGAATCAAATTTCTGGGCGAATTAAATATGATAAATCCTAGTAATAAAAAATTAATAATAATTAATTAAGGTTGCTGGAAATACTTTGACATTTTGTTATGAAGTTAGCAACGAATCATTTTGGCATATTTAATAACAATTTTAGAAAGTTGATAACTTCAAATGTGTACGAAAATAAACCTAGCATTTTACACATTCCGGTGAGTATTAACTAAATATTTGAATAATTCATTTGACAGCACCTAATGGTTAATATTAACTGTTGATTATAATATGGCCACCTCGAGCACCGTGTATATTACACATGCAAAACAATCCAATCCAATCTGTGTATATACTTATGTCAGTGACCTTTTGGAAGAGAGATTCCAGATATTCTCAACGTGCCTACGTGCTCTGCGACTCGTACGCCGTACGCGCTCCTTTAAAAACCGGCTGTTATCGAGTTATTAAAACCTGAAAGCTGAAAATGTACACTTCTCGATTTCCAAAGTACTTCTATTCATGTTAATTCGAAATCATTTTGATACACAGCGTTTCAATAAAATTGGCACTTTACCTACAGAAACTGCATAAAAATATGATTGGTTAATGTACGAGAGTTAGGGAAAAAGTTCTCAAAAAAACTGAGATTTTTTGGAGACTTTTGGACAACCTTTTGGAGACAACTTGTATGTTTTTTAATATATGTGTCCTATTATTCTTATTAAATAAGTGTCGATAATGAAAGTTATTGCATGGTTTTATTATTGTGCCAGATAGAAAGAAAGTGTTGCTTTCTATTGACTTCAGTTCATTTTCATTTAGTAAAATTTTATTATTTTCTACTTCTACAGAATTATGAAAAATATTTCAAGTATAGTATAGAGATTCTCCCAAGTTTTTCCAACAAATTCCTACAAGTTTTATTAATATCCTCTTCAAACTTATCTACTGATGTTCCCATTGACCACCCGTGTATTTTTACTACTCTCTTGACCCTCTAAAGCAAATAGTTGTATTTTTTTCTACATACAATATATTTTCATCTATCCTACAGGGCTTTATCTACGATACAAACAAAAGTATTACCAAACGTTTCGAACGCGCCGTTCGCTACCAAAGAGGAGAGTCGCGAATTTATGGCCATATTCCCGGACATCGTCCGGGATTTGACCGATGCAGGACGGCACACGGACATACCGGAGGTGACGAAGCGCTTCGCCCACGTTCTGCAATACAACGTGCCCAACGGCAAGAAAACCAGAGGTTTGACCACTGTGATCGCCTACAAAATGCTGGAGAAACCGGAGAATTTGACCCCGGAAAACATCCGTTTGGCCAACATACTTGGCTGGTGCGTTGAATTGGTAAGTGCATACAAGAACATTTGGTGGAATTTTATATGGTTTTAGAATTATCTAACGAATTTTGAGTGGAGTTTTTGGTACTTGCTTACAAGTAGTGTTTTATTTGGCTTGTGTTTGTCGGGGTAGATGACAAAACAAAAAGAATATTGAATTGTATAATTATAATTATACTGTATAATTATACTGTGCAAGTACAATTTTAAAATGTTATAATAATGTGCATTTTGAATATCTGCGTCATTAATTTGCACTGAACTTTATACCCAATTTTTGCACATTTCGTATAAATCAGTTTTTTTTAATTCAAATTATATACCGTGTAAAATAACGCTATTAATTGCGCGCGAAATAATCTTTTAATTGTCTTTGTGTTCTTTATTTAGCGAATGACGAGGAGTTTCTCTTTCTCTTCCCGGGAAAACGTTTTCCAAATAAAATAAATTGTGTTTGTGTATGTTCGAGGTCAATGTGATGATAAACAAAAGTGTTTTCATTGGATGGTAAAAGGACGCATTTTCGTTACCATTTTATGAATGTTTATAGCTTTCAACAGGGTAAAAATAGTTTGGAATAACAAATTTATTCCAACATACAAATTTGCATTGCTGTCCTATAATTGTTTTCAGATTAACGTGGTTCTGATTTTACAATGTCCTATTTTTTCTTCTTGCGAAACATCGGAATTCTTATTGTCTGGAACTAAAAAGAACAATGAATTTTATTGTTTGCCTTAAAATTACATAAGTAATATTAACGATTTTCCTGTCATTAATTAAAACTTTTTGTGTAAAAAAATGACGATTTACTTTTTTGCTGCGACGCGTCGTTTTCTTGCGACCTTGTTGAATTTTATTTTGCAACTTATTTTGCTGTATCAACAAGCATTATGGTCGAAATTTTATTGAAATGTAAAAATGGCGAAATTCGTAGGGATTTTTAATATCTCCATCGAACAGCCTACGTATTTTTTGTGCATGAATAACTGATTAAATAATATTTTAATTAAATTATCGCAACTATCAGTTCTTATTATTTACGTATTAATAATGTAACTGTCGATTCTTTCTTTGCAATTAAAATTCCTCTGCATTTTATAATCCGTTAGTAAAAAAAACATAATTAGAACCGTTATCTAAGTTATTTTATTGTGGTTAACTTTAAATTGTGATCAAATTAACGAGCTATGTTAATAGATATAGTGCAATATCATTTGAAAAGTATTATTTTTTATTTTAATTTGCAAGTTTCAAAAAAAATCTGAATTTTCTACGTTACTTTACTAAATTTTTATCATTTTTATTCAGTTACACGTACTATATCAACCATCAGATTAAATTGACACACTGGCTTACTAAAATAGTTTTAATTATGGAACAAAAGTGATTAATCTAGCGTGATATATGTAATTACGAAGAATATAAAAGTAATACATTACAAATGTATGTATTTCTTTTAGCACAAGTTTTTCACGTGATTCTAAACAACAATGCATAACAATCCACGAAATGAATAATTATAATTATAAAGGTTATCTAATTTAAATACATAAATATCACGGAATTTCGGCGTGAATCGGTAAATTAAAGTCAATAGGCTCCAAATTATTCGTTGTCATAGGGAAGTTTTTATAATTATTGCAAAAGTGGACGATTTGGGAATATGTAATGTGGCACAGAGATTAGATTAGTAGGAACATCTGGATGTATAAAATATTTTTATGTTTTATGCATGATGATATACTTATAATAGTTATCATTTTATGATTTTGTTTGTTCACTTGAATGCTTCGTGAATTAATAGAATTATAATGACGATCAATTGACTATAATATGTCCTAAGAGCAATTAATGTTTTATTTTTATCCATATCATAAAATGCCTATTTGCAATCTGTTTGTACGGTTTCTCTTATTACGCAACCATGACTTTAAGTACTTATATTACACGTTCTACACTATACGTAAATACTTATTTACAAAACAAACTTGGATCATGCCATTTCTTCCTTTTCATGATTTCAGCAATCTTATCGGTGATTTGTTAAGGCTTTATCTGTAGCTTCTTTTATCTGGAACGTCTAAATATAGGATTGATAACCGGTTGGTTATTGTAGTTTTGAATAATTTCATATTCAAACTATTTTTAGGTCATTGTTTAATTTAACGATTGAGAAGAACGTTCTGTAAACAAATTTATCAAACATGAAAAATTGAAATCTGCGCCGCAATAATTACATATTTGCTCGAGTATTATTTGCACGTCGTATTAAAATTTTGCGAACTATTTATTAATTTGTTTCCTATTATAATTAACGAAGTACATTATAATGTTGAATTTTGAAGGACATAATTAAATTGCAATAAATAAAACCATATTTTTGATCTACAATTTATATTTTTTATGCATGCACAAACAGTATCTAATCTACTAAAATCAATAATTATTATACAAAGCATCGCAATGAAGCAAAGAAATAAATAAAATATTAAAATTCGAAATCCTTCTGGCGGAGTAACCAAGTATTTAGATGTTTTTTTCGTGTTTTTATACATTTTTTACAATTTTTTTGCGTTAAATATATTTTTTTTTAATTACACGTATTTTCGTCAAGCAATTTATATAATGCATTTATATTGCGCAATACAAATGTGTTCAACTACATGAATTTCCTTCTACTCCAACTCGTCCCTGCTGAGACGGAACCTGGCGAAGTCCTCGAAGACGATGTTGTCGTCGTCGTCGTTGGCGAAGCTCTGCTCGTAGCGCCCCTTGTCGATGGACTTCATCCTCTTGATGCTCTGGGCGCGCTCCTTGTCCATCGCCCCGGGAGCCGGGTGCAGCAGCTTGAACGGCACGTCGGTGACGAGCTCGCCGCCCAGCGTGCCGCAGTTCAATTTCACCCGCAGCGAGTACGATATGACGATACCGATGGCGTCGATCGGGCACTTGCCGTCCGGCACCAACGTGGAGCTGGCCAAATTGGCGTCGTCGTCGCGCAGACGGCCGTCCAAAGCGACGCCGCGGCGGTCCTTGTTGCTCGACGCCAACGGCACCAGGTACACCACCTTGGTGAAGCTGGCGCCGGGCGTGATGGGGCAACCCTCTCTGGTCTCCAAGCTGGCGACGTACTTGGAGAATTGCGCGTTGACCATGGTCACCTCGCAATGCTGCACCACGTAGACTTTGATGTTTCTCACTTGCTTCCTCGAGTTGTTGCTGATCATGATGTTGGCGCCGATCTTTTCGCCGTGATAGTAGATGTCTTTGTCCAAGGTGACCTCCAAGTTGATCTTTCCGCTGGAGAAGGTGAAACCTTTGGATACCAGGGAGCTGGGCAGGCGGCTGGCGCCTTTCGCCAGAGGAGCGTATTGCAATTTTTTGATAGCCAATTGGACGGTACTGCGTTTGTGGCCTTTGTCTTCCTCGTTGGAGCCGACGTAGCATTTCACGTAGTATTCCACGCCGAGAGGTTTGCCTTGGTCATCTTCGCCTTAAGAGAGATAAGAATTGTTATGAAATTGTTGGAAAAAAGTCCAATCTAGTCGGTCAAACACGCTTTCGATTGAAGTCCAGCAAGTTGCGAAACCCCGTTAAATTAAATACTGCGTAGGCTTGGCATCTCTAAATTGAGGAATCGAATAATTATCGAACGTTAGCGAAACCTTACTAATTATTAACTCCATCAATTTCGTTTGGAAACCTTTCATTCGGCGACAGTGCATTGTGCTCGTGCACGAACGAAAGTGAATAAAATCGATCGGATCTTACCTGGCTGCAAAGTGACGGAGCAAGGCGACATGTCGGGAAAGGTGAACGTAAAGGGATGGGCATTCGGTCCCAATTTGTTAACCAACTTCTCTTGGACGGGTGTCAACGGTTGCTTCTCCTTCTTATTGGACGGCACTAATTGATCGGTGGCCAGGACCATTTCTTTACTGAACTTGACGCCCATGACCTCATCTTCCTCCCTACCATAGCGGTAGACAGTGATGACCTAATCAAAGGATAAACCAATTTAATGGATCATTAAGGAATGTACAGCCCAGAAGAATAAGAGAGTGTTTTAAGAAATAGAAGAGGCTACAAAAATTATTATTGCAATTTCTTTAATGAACTGCCAGAAGAATAAGAAATTGTTTGTATTATTGCATTTTATGAATTAATTGTACCTACCAATGTAGTTTCAAAAAATATGAATTTGACTGGCAACTCTAGACAACTTCTGATTTAACTGTATTATACTTATGAAATAAAGTGCGTTTTTTATGTAAATTAAAAATAAACTGACCTGTCCAAAGACCCTCCGGCCCTGCAAATACCCATCTTCGACGACGATGACTCCATCTATGGGATCGGTGTGGTCGATGTGATCGATGAAATCCCTTTTGCTGAGATATACCGTGACTTTACCATTAGGCGTTGTTTTCTTAAAAACTTTGACGGCAACCACCATTTGTCGATTGAAATTGAACAAAAGTGAGCTTGTTTAGCTTTGGATGTCCGAAATAAAGGCTTTGCACTTAGTACTTCCACCAGAAGTGTAATCGGTCCGTCGACGTTGGACCGTATTTAAAGGTGCGAATAGGGTTTCTTTTTAACTGGATTATAATGGTAAATTGGATAGAGGTATATTGGATTTCTTGTCTAACGTTAATTTGAACGTGGGTAGTCTTTAAATAATTTTTGACTTACGTAAAAACATTTTGTAATCTTTTTGTCTCTTGAATTCGTATATGTAACTTATCCAAATCCGAACTATTTTCGTTAAATAAGAGTACACAAGTTCAATACTTTTATGCAGACCTTCGTCGAAATTCATTATAATCTGATATGGTGTACATTGTAGTACTCGCTTTTAAACTCGACTCCAATTCTCTAGGGTATATATACTGCATTTTAAATCAACAAATATCATCCTCGGCATATTAATTAGTTGAATTAAAATCATTTTTATGTTTTACTTCTAATTAATACGGAGATATACGCACATTGACGTTACTAGCAAATAGATTTCTTTGAATTTATGCTAACTAACCTGATTACGCTTGTAAGTTTATATAAATCACTAACAGTACCATACAGAGCGGACCATTGGATGCAGAAATAACAATAATATAACTAATTGTGTCTAATATTTCTTCTAATTCATTACTGTTCCATCATAACTTTACGCTGTTTCATCCTATGTGGCTTATATGTTAATGCTGGTGGGTTTGATTACTTAGGTCTCGAGGGCCTTTAATGCTGGTAGCACTGACCACCAGGTGTTTGACTGTACTTTTCTTTGCAGCTTAAGGCATTCGGTGTGGTGGCGGACGATCTAATCGATCATTCCGAAACGAGGCATAACATGGCCTGTTGGTACAAATACGAAGACGTCGGTATGACGGCCGTCAATGACAGCTCGCTGCTGGAACAGTCCGTATTCCACGTACTAAAAAAATACCTTTCGAATCGTCCGCATTACGCGTCGTTGATCGAACTGTTCCAAGACACGACGCTGAAGAGCGCCATGGGGAAATCCCTCGACTGCGAAATAACTAACGATCTCACTAAAATGACCATGAAAAACTACTCGTTGATATCGAAATACAGGAACGGGTACTGTACGCTACAGTTGCCAGTCGCTGCGGCTATGTATTTAGCGGGAATGAGCGATCCGGAACAGCATCGGCAAGCTCAGACTCTTTTACTGGAAATGGGGCATTATTTCCAAGTTCAAGTAAGTATCGATACCTATCCCGTTTCCAGCCGATTTCATATCCGTGGACTTTTGCAGAAGGATTTCCTCAATTGCTTCGGCAATTCGGAATCGATCACCAACATCGGTTCGGACGTGAACGAAGGCAAATGCACCTGGTTGGCGGTGGTGGCTTTGCAAAGGGCCAGTCCGAGCCAGCGAGAAGTTATGGAGGAGTTTTACGGGAAGAGTGGAGAAAAGGCTGTGCACGTTATAAGGAATTTGTTTGTCGAATTGGGCTTGCCCGCTACCTACGAGAGATACGAGGAGCAAACGAACAAAATCATAATGACGAATATACAGCAATTGACCAGGGGGTTGCCGCATAAGTTGTTCTTTACGATTTTGAGGGAATTGTATACGTTCGAATAGCGCTAGATTTACTATTTTTTTATTTCTTATTATTTTTTACGAATAATTGGACTTTTTTAAATATATGTGATATGAAGAAATTTATCTAGATATGTGGATGAATATGTATTTAGGGACCACTTTATTTTTCAACTTGTTTGTTAGCTTAAGGTAAATTTTATTACCGGCTTTTGTATATAAGTTTTATATAACATAGTAATTGTTAAAATATAATTAATTAGTAGTTGTTTTGTTATTTATTATCTTTCGACTACCATCTTAATTAAATCGCTTAAAAACTTTTCATAGTCATTACCTAATTGGAATATTTAATGAGCCTTAGATATCATAGTACAATATAATTTTTTCCAACGAAAGTACACTACTGTTTGAAGCGTATTAAAACTTTTATAATTTATTAATATACCAAGAAGCGCCTTTTTAATTGAAAAACAAATAAAATTTTTAAGTCAAAATATTATTTTCGATAACATGAAATAATGGAATATTTTCAATAACAAAGCATCAAATTTTATAACAAAAAATAATACTTACGCAATCATGACGATAAAACATTAAAAATAAAATGAAGTGATACTGTTTAATTTCCTTTACAATAACAACATTTACTATGAGATCGAATTGTTTCCAGCTCCAAGCCTATTTCATCGTTGCCGATGACATAATGGACCACTCGGTATCGCGAAGAGGTCGACCCTGCTGGTACAGAACGGAAGGAGTAGGTTTAATAGCAGTCAACGATGGAATCCTTCTCGAAAACAGCATTTACCTGCTGCTCAAAAAGCATTTATCCTCTCTACCCTGCTACGTACCCATCATGGAGCTGTTTCGCGACATCACCTTCAAAACCTCCTTGGGACAATCGCTCGATTGCCTTTGTCTCGCCAATGGAAAGCCCGTATTGGATTTGTTCACGATGAAAAGGTACAAGACCATCGTCAAGTACAAGACTTCCTATTATTCCATTCAGCTACCCGTCGCTTTGGGAATGTATCTGGCCAACATGACCGACCAAGAACAACACAGACAAGCCAAAACCATCTTGTTGGAAATGGGGGAATTCTTCCAAATCCAGGTGAGCACTTTTCCGCGAGAAACCACAATCTCCTCAATGAAACCTCCAAGCCTAGTTTATAAAACGTCCCAATCCAGTTCCTTATAAACTCTGATATAATCACACTATCTTTTTACCAATGAATTAACTTTCAGGACGATTTCCTGGACGTGTTCGGCGACTCGGATGTGACTGGTAAAATCGGAACGGACATCAAAGACGGCAAGTGCTCCTGGCTGGCAGTGCTAGCTTTGCAAAGGGCCACTCCCGCCCAAAGGAAGGTAATGGACGAGCATTACGGCAAGGACAACGACGAATCTGTTCGCATAGTGAAGAATTTATTCGAAGAATTGGGCCTGCCGGCCACGTTCGCCGTCTACGAAGAGGAGAGCTTCAACATCACCAGGACGCACATCCAGCAGATATCGAAGGGGCTGCCCCACGACTTGTTCTTCAAGATTTTGAGGAAGTTCTACAAACGGGATTGTTGAGAGATGGTGCGTCTCGAACGGGCTGCGTAAAGAGTATTTCTGTTTCAAGCGAACGAGGTTCAAGTTAATCTGGTGATGGCGTCACGCTAATCACAAATTCTCCTAAATATAGGAAAATGGTATTGAACAGAAATCGTCAATTTGCATGAAAAACTTTACGCTGCGGCAACGTCGGTATATTTGATGTTGTGACGTCATTGCCAATTTATCGTGAATGTATTATACTATAAAGCATTTTTCTATAGTTTAGTACCTAGCAAGTTAGAATATATTTTCTATTTTTTTAATAATAAAATATTTTGATTTTTCTTTGGTTTCTGTTAATTGTAAGTATTTTTTCTATTAATTTACGAGTGTAAGTACAGAAATTAGAGGGATTGAATATATGGAAAATTTTAGTGATATATGTCCAGTTGAAATGTAAAATTTGTGTAAACAAAAATAAAAAGCAGTCTACTTATTTAATAATTTTGTTAATAAAACCCTTATAATTAAAGATACATTCTTAAGTAGTAGTCATAGAGAAAGAAAGATGCCTCCCGGAGGGTAAGAGGATATTTGTGCGATATTTCCTATGCTTTAAACAGTCTTTTTTATTTTGTCTGGTAGTATTATTCAAAAAATCAAATTTACCACCATAACAGTCAGTGAATAACATCGTAGAGAAAGGCCACTTCTGACTAAAATAAAAAATTTTATGACACTTGTGGCATTATTGACATTTGACATTGACATTTTTGACTGTTTTGCGCACTTTCAAAGTTCAACAATAGACCTATTCAGTTTAACCTGTGCTGCGCGCGCATATTGTGGACAATTAGCTGGACATCTAAACGAACAAACGAACGCACCTCAGGTAAAATACGGTTCTGACAACCAGACAACGACAACTTAAGACGTCATTTGTCATTATCCAACAATCCGTCGGATTTAATGGACGCGGTGACTCGATACAAATTTGTTTTTACTGCCCAGAAAGGGGTTATAGGCTTAATATTTACGTACAAGTCAAGTCTAAGAAAGAGTAAGAGGGTTAGTACAAAGTTTCCGAAAATGCTTTTTGATCGGTTTGCTATAATATATATTTCAAAAAAATAATCCCATTGACCTATACAAAAAATTATTACCTTTATAAATAAATATACTAAATAATACAAAGAAATACTGTTAAAAATAATACACACTGAACATAAACAAACATCAAACGGAAACAAAATAGGGTTAAGAATGTTAAGATTGATAATGGTCTCTTCTTTTTTATATTTTAAACAGTTTTCATCTAAGAATCATTCAATGTGTCTGTCAATCAGCAATGAAATAGGCCAAATATCTCATCTCTCTTGCACTTATGTTTGCGCAGATTTTAAATGGTTCCACAAACTGCGCGTGAAACATATTTGCTTCTTTTATTCTCTTATGTTGATCAAATAACTCCATCACTCTCTTTCGTAAACTGAATAGGTCTATTTTGTAATATTGTAATCTCATAACTGGTATTGATAACCATCGCGCTAGTTTTTTTCTTTAGTGAACTGATTTAATTGGTGTTTTGAAGATTTTTTTCGATACAATGACGCCAAATCCGGAGCATGTCGTGAATCAACTGCGTAATACATTCAACAGCGGTAAAACCAAATCGTTGATTTATCGAATCCAACAATTAAAAGCGGTTTTGAAACTGCTCGACGAGCAGACGCCTCAAATAGTCGAAGCTCTATCGAAGGACCTGCGAAAAAATGAATTCGAAACGATCTTAATGGAAATAGACATCGTAAAGAACGAGGTGAAGCACACTCTCATGCACATCCACGATTGGGCCAAGGCAGAAAAACCGTCGAAGGCTTTCGCTAATGTCCTAGACTCCGTTTACATCGTCAACGATCCCTACGGAGTGGTTCTCGTTCTAGGCGCCTGGAACTACCCTTTGCAACTCTCCCTAACCCCTGCCATCGGAGCCATAGCCGCAGGAAACGCTGTTCTGCTAAAGCCATCAGAACTAGCTCCGGCTACATCTAAATTCCTGGCCGAATACGTTCCTAAATACTTAGACAGCGAAGCTTATCAAATCTACGAAGGCGGTATACCGGAAACCACCGCACTACTCAAGCAACGATTCGATTATATATTTTACACGGGCTCATCGGCTGTCGGGAAAATCGTACTTGAAGCAGCCGCAAAGCACCTAACGCCTGTAACACTGGAATTGGGAGGTAAGAATTGGGCTATTCCCTAGAAATATTTGGCTGAATAACCTTGTTTATCTCATGTATTGTTTACTGTGCTATTTACTTCAACAAATGTATGCTATGAGTATACTTATTTGTTGAATATAATTGCCCAGAAATTGCTGTTTAGAAAGTTAATTATAAATAATAACGAAGCAGGTACGGAAATTATGTAAATTAGTCTACATTCAGGTTTTTTAATCATTAAATACCTACATAATTTTTCGGTCTTATCAAATGAACTGTTTGTATAAGTAAATAGGTCTGAAATGAATACAATTGTAAACTATTATATTTTTAAATTCTTATTTTAAGATATGACTAAAGGTTACACAAACCTCTTCTTTAGTGCACAAAAAAAATGGAAACATCTCCGAGACATTACCATAAATTTGAATACCAAACCTAGTATACACATAAATCATCAAACAAAAGCGTATAATGCTAAAACATTAATGTTTAAGGGATTTATTGAGTACAACAGTCTGCCTGAAACTGTGAAGTCTTCTACCAGTCTCAGTTTTTTTAAGAGAAATTTATTGAACCATTTAATGAACCGTTAAGATGTCTAATTGTTGCATTGAGCTGGTGTTGTCTGGAGTTTTGTTTTCCTTTTTTTCTTTTTTGTTGTATTTGGATAAGTTAGAATACCAATACGTATGAACAAACGCTGTAGAAATTTTTCGATTGTCGACATTTTTTCAAATTTATGTTATACATTAGGATGTACCTACCTGGAAATAATTTCATTCATTTATTCAAACCTTGTATAATCTAATTGCGTTTTTTTACAGGCAAAAGTCCTGTATATGTGGACAAATCGGCCGATATCGAAACGGCCGTGAAAAGGATATTATGGGGAAAATGCGCCAATGCAGGACAAACTTGCGTGGCGCCGGATTATGTGCTGTGCACTAGAGAAGTACAAGACAAGTTCGTTGCGGTGTCTAGAAAGGTGCTGAATGAGTTCTACGGCGAGGATGCCAAGACTTCGAAGGATTATGGAAGGATCGTTAACGAGAGGAATTTCCAAAGGCTAGCCAATCTTTTAAAAGGTATGTAAAGATTAATAGATGTAATGATAATGGTTGGTATTTTTGCTCCTATATTAGGACTGGATAAGTTATGTAGTCTAGATTATACAGGGTGTTAATTAATTGAGTGTCGATACTTCAGGAATTGAATATTTGGAACACCCTGTATGTGAGGTGAATATACTGGTTAATAAGCAAACCTTTGGTTAGCGGGATTTATCTCTAGGATAATTTTTTTACTGTTTAATTATAAAGGGACAAATGCCGCAGTCCAAAGGTAAAAATTCCGATTCTAATAGACTCATTTTGAAATTTGTATTCGAACTGAACTCTACCACCACCCATTTCATTTGCAGCAATAAGTTCGATTTAATTGACTGATAATGAAGATTTATTAGAAGCAATAATATATTTAACTAACATGACTTGATAATTTCAAATCATTCAGATATGCGCTTTTTGATGCATCTTTAAAGAAAACCGTCCCTTTTGTATGCAAAATAGCAAGTTTTCTCCCATAAAAAGGGAAAACTTTATGCAAGTAAAGGAAGAATAAAAGTTTTTATCCCAGGCTTGAAATGTTTGTTGCTGATCCGTGTGTTATGTGTTAACTCATGCCCTTTGCAGCTAAGTACCCGTTCCTAATAACATATAACCAAATACATTTTCATCGAATCACCATTACTGAATATTTTAACTAACTACTTCACTAATTACAGGTGGTAACATCGCCATTGGGGGCGATACAGACCCCTCCGAACGGTACATCTCTCCCACAATCGTAACCGACGTCAAACCGACGGATCCCATAATGCAAGAGGAAATCTTCGGCCCGATACTACCCATCGTAACCATCGACAGCGCCTTCGAAGCCATACAATTCATCAACTCGATGGAAAAACCGCTGGCCTTGTACATCTTCTCCAACAACAAAAAAGACGTCGAGCAAATACTGGCCAATACCTCTTCGGGGGGCGTTTGCGTCAACGATACCGTCATGCATCTGGTCGTCGCGACGCTGCCGTTCGGCGGCGTCGGCTCCAGCGGCATGGGCAGCTACCACGGTAAGTACAGCTACGATACGTTCGTTCACAAGAAGGGCGTGCTCCACAAGAATTTGGGGTACATCGGAGAGGCGCTGTCGTCGGCCAAGTATCCGCCTTATACGTCCGGCAAGCGGAGGTATTTGCAGTTGCTGCTGACGCCCGGGATGGACATAAACGGGCGGTTCATGTCGCATTTGTTCACGTTTTTTTGCGGGGCAGCTTTCGTTTATTTGTTGAAGTACGCGAGGAGTTTGTATCAGTCCTAGTTGATCGTATTAACGGAGTTGGGTGATGTACTTCTAGTATAGGTTACGGTAATGCCGATTATTTCTTACTCTCTATACTCTATATGAAATGATGCGTGGATGGCCCGTTAAAGACAATCAAATTAATCGGAAGACGTTTTGATATTGCACTTTTTGAATTTTTTTGTTATGTTTTATTCATACGTTATTTTGAATTTTAAACGCTCGTAAACGTTTGTGGTTTCTTTTGAAATATTTACTGAATGAATAATATGTGCGATTGATTTATTACGATTATATTAATCTATATCTTTTCTCCAGAAAGTGTTGTACTAACTTCTATGCTACTGCTTTATTTACTTTATCTAATATTGTGGGGAACCTAACACTAATTTTTGTGCCTGTTAGAAATTTATTCACTCTCTTTAAAAGGTGCTATATTTACACGTTGTGTTAAACCTTACTGTTACTTCACATTTTATAATACTCTTAAAAAAGACACATCTATTATAATTCTATGGATAATGGAATTTCATATGCACTATATCTAATTGTATCTGTATACATTAGATAATTAATAATTAATAATTAATAATTAATAAATGAAGTTACAAATTTATATTTTTTATATATTTTTATGGCCACAAAGTTACATGAACAAATAATGATCTGTATTAATTGATGTGATGTAAATGCATTTTTATAAACCATAAGGAGTTTTCTGAGTAAGTAATGCATTTAATACGGTTAAAATTAATTAAGACACAAATTGTATTGGTAGTTTTAATTAACTCGATTTTTTATTTTTATAGTTATTTTTTATTTGTTATATTTTTGGAAGTAGTTTATGAATATTTTATTAAGTTTGTTACGCCGATTATTATGTTAATTATTTTTCCTTATTCTTACAGTAATTATACAAAGGTATTGGATTCAAACATATATTTTTAGAAAACTAATAAAATTTAATCGAACAATCTTTTTTCTTACAATCCCATCAATGCAACCTGATAAGTTGTATGATCCTTACAAACTGCAACGTTCTCTTATTAGCTTTTATTAATACTTGATATTTGATTGAATTCGTCGTTTCTACAATGAGTAACAAATAAATCCATCTTTTGTGTTCCGTAATACTCGATCGTAAGACTTTATTAATGACCGTTAGTCCGTTGAACGAATCCGAATTGGCTACGAGTTTCACGGCGGATGCGATGAATTGCGCCGTCAAAATCGGATGGTCTTCGCGAAATTTCCCCATGCAACTGCACCATTCCTCCGGTATACCGGCCTGGCCGCAACTCCGCTTCTCCCGTATCCCACCCGAGAACAACGACGAGCAAGTCGAGCAAGCAGAACTATTTTTCACCGCATATTCCTCGACGGACATCGACAGCACATCCTGCAAAGTCATGTACATATCGTACGTGCTGGTCAGTTTTCGCGAATTGTCCGCGAAGTTGCGGCTCTTCTGCGGGTATTTTTCCTCGAACCAGCTCGGCAGCCTGGCGAAGTTCATCGGTAAACGTTCCTCGTACCAGCCTTGCACGGTTTCCCGGATCGGTCCGAATCTCATGCCGTGATCGGCTAGAAGCACCACCATGCTGTCGTCGAAGATCCCTTTGGTGTTCAAGTTTCGGAAGAACTCGCGCAAGACCCAGTCCATCCGGCTGGGGGTGTTTATGTAGTTGTGGCTGAAGGTGTTCATCCAGAAAATGCCGAAACTGGGTCGGTTTTTGAACGTTTCCGCGAAGTCTAAAGCGACGTTTAGGATCCTTTCTCCTAACGGAAATAGTGGTTAATATTCGAGGAGAAATATACAGGAATTTTGCGCAAACTCACCCTGAGTTACCGGTCCGGAGCAGTACGGCATGGAGTCGAGGATCTTCGGCAGCAAGCTCTGCGCGCCCTCCATGTAGGGCTTGAAATAGAAGTCGGTCGGCGGCCGTTCGAAGCCCTTCTTCATGTAATTGAAGGTCGCTATGTTAGCCCAATCTTCCGCGTACGCCGTAGCGTAGCCGTGGTCCCTGTAATCGTACCAAATCATCGGGCATTGGTCCATTCCGCCGACGGTTCGCGCTTTGCAAGCGATCCGCGATTGCCTCGGGTTGAGGCCCGTTAGCAGCGCGTTGAAATTCGGAAACGTATTATCGGCTATCTTGTTGTAGCGGGAAAACTCGATGAAGTTGTTTTCCATCAGGTACGTCCTGGTAGAGGGCATTGTTCGTTCGAAATTCAGCCTGGCCACGCTGTCTATGACGATTATTAGTACGCTTAGGGGTTTATTTTTAGCATTTGTTAATAATGTTTTGGTTTTTTGTTCTATGGCGTCCGGTACTGTGAGTACCGCGTGGATATTTTCGTATATTTTATCGGCTCCTAAATAACACGATACTTTAGCAATGTTCTCTTCCAAAAATACCGATTTATTAAACGGTTTACATGACGACTCGCTGAAAAATTATTGCATTATTGTTGTTGAAACAATATGGAATAGATTCTATACCTCAGCAAATGTAGATTGACAGTTAAAAATTGCATTAGAGTCTCTCCCCACAAATGAAAAAAATTGTAAAACAAATTAACTACCGCCACTGGAAATTTTGCAATCTTTATTCTGCTATCGATTTGTATCAATTGAGCTCTATTAAACATACCCTCTATTTTGTTTAAATCTTACTTTGACGCCTCCAACTTCGTAACTCCAACTGCCAAGCTACGTTTGGTGAGGTACAATTTTGAGAAATTTTTGTATAAATTAGTAGTTTAAATTTACCTAATACCGACGTCTGGGTGTCTATCAGTGCCATTTCTTCTAACGTAACTAAAACAACAATCAATACTGTCTTGTATCGAATAATACTGATCGATGTATTTCTCGTTGATGTGCAAATAAGCTCTGTTATTTTCTACGGTCGTATACGTTAGTATATCTAAATCCGAGCATTTTACGTACGGTAACGGCGTAAAAATATTATGGGTTTCGTTCGAAATCGCTTCGAAATTCGGCATTTTGCACAGTTCATTGTCAATTAGGTATTCTGTAACAACGCACACCTTGAGTTTCATTTCGTAAAATTGAATTTAAATTGTAATTATAGAATTGTGGAACTTACCGTTAGCCGCCGTTACCGTAACAATCCACACAGGAATAAAGTATTTAAACATCATTTCGGACTAACGCATTCGATATACGAAATTACAGCACTAACGAAAATTAAAAGAATTATGCAGTTTCGTATTGACCGTTAGGAATAGGGTTCACAAACAGCGTTGATAATCTTTTGAACTATCCAAGGCTTCCGAGTGATTGGTATTTCGAGCACCACACTTTTATGTACATAAGTATTAATTATTTAATATTTGTGCTTTTTTACCGTCGAAATGAATGTGGTATGAAGAGATTTCGATTAGGTACTTTGTTTGACTTAATAGAAAACATATTTGATGATGATTAAATAAATAAAAAACTTACGGCAATTAGAATAATTATTCGGGAAAAATATCAAACGTAATTGGAGATTTTTTTATGATATTTAATGTAATCAAACTCGTATTTATACCTGGTTATATGACGGTATTATCCATTGATCCCCCCATTTTTTGTTTTATTTATCTTGACTCATCCTCTACTAATTTATTGAATTAAACTAAAACAATGTGTTTGTTACTAAGTATTAATAAATATCAGGTATACCAAGTATTTTTAAAATATTAATCATGTAATTAATATTAATATTTCAAATAATCCTAGGTACTGTTAAAATCAGAAACATTATAATTACTTACATATCTAAATTTATTTTTTACAGAACTTATCTAAATACCTAAGAAGACAAAAAGTCGAAATAAATAAATCTATCTATAAAATAGTTACACATTTAAATAGTTGTCAGTTGTTGAGCATTACGAAAAATGTCTAATCTACAACTTTATTAAGTCAATAATACTTAGAAAGATTAATTCGTACAATAAAAATAATTTACACGATTTTTGGCATTGTACAAAAATTCAATTGGTCGACGTTAATTCGACTATAAGTCGCGATTCTTGATCAATGGACACCCTGAAACAGAACGATACCATTACATAAGTAAACCGCATTAATATTAAAAATAAAAAAGAATTCGTTAGCGTTAAAATAAATCTTACTGCAAACTGAACATTGACTTTCATCGGTCCCATCGCCGCAACCGTCCCTTCCCGAGCAAGCAATCGCGCTCGATCTGCACCTTCCGTTTCCGCATCTCAACGGGCAATATTCCGTTCTTCTTCTGCGCGATCTGCCTTTGCAAATGTGCGGCGGTTCATCGCTTCCATCGCTGCAACCTAAAATATAACGAAAATGTAAAAGTACGAAGAAACTTCTAGATATAAAGATAACCCAGAGGTGAACTCCAGCGCTTCCAACACCAGGCCTGTTTATCCAAGAAACTTGGACCTTCCATGACATTACTAAGCTTCTTTATCAAATGCTGAAGCTTACACAGGAAAACTCATATCCTCAATCATATAAGAATAAAGAGGTCCTTGAAGAGGATCTTAATGTGGAAGAGGATCTTAGTGAAGTCCAGCTTGAGAAGAAAATTGTAGGCTTACCGATAATGGCGTTGCAGAATTCGTATTCCGGTAAACATTTACCGTCCCTGCATTGGAACGTATCAGGGGGACAGCCCTTTCTGCCGATAGCTTGGCAATTGGCCTCGTCCTCTCCCAGCAGACAGTCTTTGGAACCGTCGCATCTGCTCGCTCTCGATATGCATTTACCGGTCGATTTGCAGCTGAAAGGAACCGATTAACTTCTTAGGCTTAAAATGACGTTTATTATCGTTACCTGAAGGCTTCCGAAGGGCATTTGTTGGGCCGACAGTCCTCGTCCGAGCCGTCGCTGCAATCTTTCCTTCCGTCGCAAACGAAGAACCAGCTAATGCAGGTTCCGGTGCTGCGGCACTAAAAAAATTAATACGGATGTTATGTTAACAAGATTGATTCAATTAGATTCGCGAATTCGATAAACCAGGACAAACGCCTACCCCACACAGCATCAAATCTCTCAGTACCATCTCAATCAGATCACATATTGATCACAATATCTCAGAAATTTCTGAAATGTCTCCGAGACATTTAAAAAAATTGAAAGCTTGGTAACATATATATTGGTGAATAGTGATATGTCTGAGATGTATCTGAGATAGTTACAGCTTTATCAATTGCTTGATGGTAATATTTTCACATATTTTTTTTCTTAATTTTTTGGGATGATCTGCTAAGCTATTGTACTATTTAGCTATTGTACACGAGCCCACAGCCAACGTGGCACGTTCTGATTGGTTCTTGGTTCTTATAACACTTTACGGTGCTGTATATATCATTGCTTAAAGGGCATTCCATATACTTGCGAATTACGAATTGCGAATTGCGAATAGTTTTCTGATTGGTCAGTTTAGAAAAAGACATAAATGCAGATGCCTGCATTTTGTTTTTGTTTCCCTGCTTTCCGCGGTACCAAAATTATATCGATTAATCGATTATAAGAATTAAATCGGTAATATGTAGATTCGAAATAATTAATACTTGTATAATAACAGAGTATTCTCTAGAACAAATAATAAAAGCAAATATGACAAAAATCCTAATGTAAAGTTGATTTTAGGCATTCTTTTTATAATTTAAACGTACTAAAATCGAATTCTGTCACTTATCGAATCGAATGATTAACAATCGAAAATGTCACAATCGTTAAAATAAAGAATTAGAGCGAAAACGATCAACTAACCTCACTTTTTGGTTTGCAATGTGCAATGTCTTTCGGTTACACGGTTTTTTTTGAGTAAGCATCTTTTAAATTTAATACTTAATAGTTGGATTATTAATTTCCTTTATTTTATATTTATTATTTATTCCTTTCTTTATGAATTAAACATGCCTAAATCTAAATCAGTTAGTACAGTAAGTAAGAGGCATTTGCGGCGCCTTGTCCAAAGAAATTTAATTGAAGTTAATAAGAATAAGCCTGAAAAACAAATAACCAACACTTTTCAAGAAGTTAATAACTTTGAAACACAGAAACCTGTTCCTGTTAATAATTTTATTGAATCAAGTGATGATGAATGTAATTCTCAAGAAAGTATCGAAGTGACACATTTTTCTCCTCCTAAGCCCAGTTTATTAACACTAAGTGAATCTTCAGAACCTTCAGAAAATTGTGATCATAATATTGTGATGACCAACTCCAGTATTACTACAGATTTCAGGTTAGAAGCTGAAAATATAAGATCTAGTTTAGCTAACTGGGCAATCTCACATAATATTTCTCATGTTTCACTTAATAGTTTATTGAATATTTTACATAATCACAATTGTTTTTCTAACCTTCCACTGGATAGTAGAACACTACTTCATACAGCAAAAACGTGTGTGCTTAAAACTGTATGTCCAGGAGAATATGTTCATTTTGGCTTGAAAAGAATTTTACAAATAATGATAAATGAAAACATTGAAATAGTTGAATTATTGATAAATATCGACGGTTTGCCTATTGGTAAATCGTCTACCAATTCTTTATGGCCAATATTAGGAAATATTTCAGGGTTTTCAAATGTTTTTATAATAGGTGTTTATTTTGGTCCTCAAAAACCACAAGATGTCAATGAATTTTTATCAAATTTTGTCGAAGATTGTACAGATTTAATAAATAATGGTTTATGCATAAATAATAAAATAATTCCTTTTATTCTAAAAGGTATAGTATGTGATGCACCAGCAAAGTCTTTTGTATTAGGCGTTAAAGGGCATTCTGGCTATTCAAGCTGCACAAAATGTTTGATAAATGGTGATTTTTTAAATAACCGAGTTTGTTTTCCTGGCAGTACATGTGGTAAAAGAACAGATGAAAGCTTTAGAGCCCAAAGTGACGAAGAATACCATATTCGTGAAACAATTTTAAAACAAATTCCTAATTTTGACTTAGTAAAAGGAGTTCCACTGGATTATATGCACCTTTTATGTCTTGGTATAACTAAAAGACTTCTGCTCCTATGGACCGGGGGTGATTTATCTGTCAGATTACCCAGTTCTAAAATTAAATCTATATCACAAAGAATTACAAGCTTAAAGCATTATATACCCAAAGAATTTGTTAGAAGACCCCGTTCATTGGATTACTTAAAATTATTTAAAGCAACAGAGTTTCGAATGTTACTGCTTTATATAGGGCCAATTTGTTTTTCCGGCATTTTAAGAAGAAAAGTTTATGAAAATTTTCTTACACTACATGTTGCAATTAGAATGCTTTGTATTCAAAATGAATGTGAAACCATTGAATATGCTAATAAATTACTGCACATCTTTGTTTCGACATATGAAAAAATTTACAAAAAATACAATGTTTCCCATAATGTTCATAACCTGTTACATCTTGCTGAAGATGTAAAACAATTTGGAGTATTGGATAATTTCAGCGCTTTCAAATTTGAAAACTATATGTCATCGATAAAGAAATTACTGAGAAAATCTGAAAGACCACTTCAACAATTATTTTTTAGAACTACTGAAATAGAAGCCTTAGGTACACAAACATGGAAGCTTTTGCCAAAAAACAAAAATCTAAAATTTTTCATGGTTGATAAAACATTGCATACTCGTGGTCCCCTCATTGAAGGATGTTCAAATCCTCAATATCATTCAATACAAAATGATCAATTCATATTAAAAGCTTTTTCTGTTTCTGATAATTGTTTTTTGGGCAAAAATGGCAATATTGTAGTGTTAGAAAACATTGCCTATTCGTTTGAAGCACAGTCTATGTTACTAATAGGTAGAGAATTCGTAAAGAAAGAAAATTTATTTCACAAACCCTGTGATTCATCTAAACTTGATATTTATGTAGTTTCACACTTATCCGCGCTCAAAACTTGGCCGTTAACTGAAGTTAGGTGCAAATATATGAAATTGCCCTTTGAAGCTAATACATTTGTTGTTATTCCCTTACTCCATAGTGAGGTAAGTATTTTTTTAAATTATGGCAACAATAGAAAATAATAATTTTGTTCCATTTTAAACACTTAGAGTTCAAAATGAATAAGAAGTACTGCGTAGTTGAGTTTGATGATGGCCTGCAACTTATTCCAAGACTTTGGATCAACAGCGACAATGAAGCTTTCTGGCCGAATTTTAAAACTACAGCTAAATACAACGCTGCCGTTAAAAATTCAATAAAACCTGGCATAGATTGGCAAAAATGTCAAATTTTAAGAATTTTATATTCTACAGGTGAGAAAATGATTACTTTCCCTAAAGATGTTAGACTATATTTATTCTAAAATGTTATATATTTCCAGATAATTATGAGTATGGATTAAAAAAAGTGAAAGAAGCTGAAGATGAGAGTGACATTTGTACAACAGATCCAGAAGAAGAAAAGAAAAAAAGAAAGTACAAGGCGACAAAAAAATTATCCAGCTCCGAAGATGAAATGGATACAACAATTGTACAAAAAAGGCAAATAAAACATCGCGAAACAAGATATTCTTTATCAGACGATGAAGATGAAGATACTGCATATCCAACGTTTCCAACTGACAAAACAGGTGAGTGCTTTTCGTACTTTTTGAGTACTGTACTTTTCTTAACTACGTTTTAATAGAAAACTTAATTTCAAATGGATCAATTATTTTAGTTAATTGTACGCCTGCAAAAGATACACGAATGGAAGTTCCCTCCCAACTAACAATAAGTAAGTAAATTTGTAAATAAGAGTATTTACATAAATCAATTTTTGTGTAATTTTTAGCCTTCCAGGAGGACTGCATGAAATTATTACAAAACGTCCAGAGAAAAGTAGTGGCAGTGTCCCTGATGCAACAGGAAATATTGGATAGGTTGAATTCGCTCGAACTAGGAGTTGTTGAAAGGGAAAAAGATTTACCAAATGATGATCCGTGCAGAGAAATTTTTGAAAGTGTGTTCCCTGTAAACACCATTGAAGAAATGGAACGTATCAACAACATGTTAAAAACTAATGATAATTTACGAAAATATGTTGTAAGTATAAAAATTACTTATCTAAAGATTTTATAATGATTTATATATTCATTTTAGTTTCAACGAAGTCGTCTTCTGTTGGGGAAGGATACAAAAACTTCAATTGTAAATATTCTTCGAGCTTTCTTAACAAATTCTTGTGCGGCATGTTACAGTTGGGTTGGAGCAAAGAAGAAGAATATGTTTTGTGAATTAGAGCTGGTCAAAATTATAAAAGGTAGTTACTCAAGTGAAACAAAAGTTGTTTAAGAAAAAAATAATAGAATACAATTTTCGTTACATCGAGTTTTCATTCACAATTTCACTGTAAAATGTTTTTCTAATACTTGAATTTTATTTTTCAGATTCAATTCGCAGTCAAAAAGGTAAAGAACTAACTTCAGACTATGAAATATCGGAAGTTATAAAGAACTGGCTAAGACTGGCAACATTAAGGAAGGACCGGGAAAGAGAAAAACAAGAGCGAGCAAGAACAGAATGATGTAATTTAATAAGATTTGAAAAAATAAAGTACTTTCTTAGTATTCTGGTTATGTCTCAATAATATTTAAAATAATATCTCAGATGCACTAAGTATATAAGCTGCGAGATATCTTTGAGATATTTTTAAACGGTTCTGAGATATCTCAATAACACGTCTTTGAGATGTTTACAAGGCGGACATAAAGATATCTCAAAGATATCCCGATTATATCTCAAAAATATTTCTGAAGATCTCAGAGATATACTATGTCTCATTATTGACGTCCCTGATATATCCTAGAGTCGTAAATTTGCTGTGTGGGACTATCAATTTGGACCGCATTTTCCCATTCAGCCAATGAATGGTTGATTTATCGTTCGATACGTTTAATAAAAAGATTCGTCCATCAAATACTACTAATGGTTAGAGTGATTTTTTATGGTATCAATTGAATGAAACGTTTTTAATGAAAATTGTTTTTTGAAGAAGTTTTCTATTAGTAGCAATTTTGTAGGCATATTTTCATATGCTCGAAGTCGCGTGGAAAGAGATCTTTATCGATTTTTTGCGTACCTGGAAAGTGCCTGGAATGCATCCTCTGTTCATGGCCGAGCAACCTCTCGTTCCGTTCGTTTTGATGACACAATCGCAGATGCCTTCGATGCATTTCGACGAAGGATCCGACATTTTGCATTGCATATCAGTGACGCAAGGAAGGCCCAAACTCACGGATTCATCGGCATTTTCCACTCTCGTTCGAAGGCGAGTGGTAGTCGGTGGTAAAGCTGCAATTATACTGGATTTAGTGGTAGAAAAACCTGCTGAAAACATGATTTTAGTGGGTCATGGCAGGAATTGGTAAACGCGTATAACTTGTAATTTCTTACTGGTAGTAACTGATGGGATGATGGAGCTTCTATAGGTAGTAGTAGACGTTGGTTCCATTGTGGTTCTTCTTCTGGATATCGTCGCTCGAGTGGTGGAGTCCATTTTTGATACGTTTCCATGAGGAACGTGCGTTGTAGAATCGGAAATGGTGGGCACCTATAATCGGTGTATCAAAATTAGGTGTTTGAACTCAACCTAACTAGACCATCATGGACTTTGAAACGATTCATCTCGTATAAAAAGAAGCTATAACACAAACCGTTTTAGTCGTGCGATCCTTCCCGGGCGCTCTTTCCCTCACAGCGGCTTTGGGCGTCGGAACGTCGACGATAACGTTGGACTCGATATCGTGGCTCGTCGATTCCGTCGTCGGTCTCTCAGTGGTGGTTGTGCCGGCGGCGGTGGAGCTCGAAACGGGCGGCGGTTTGGTCTGAAAAGCGGCCCGCACGCAAGAGTCACCAACCTGCTTGAAAGGCGTATTGCAGGAACACCGGCCGAACAGATTCGGTATGAGAAAATCGCAGTGGCTGTCTGCAGTCCACAGGCGACAGTGGTCGTTGCTGTAGCACACGTTGCCCGGTCTCGCGGCTGGAAGATCGAAAATAATTAGAAAACGAAATTTAATTAGATCCTATATTGAAGATTGATGAACGCCGCGGCCTCGATTCCCGTTCTTGATAGTTTCCATCGTGGGAAATCGATGTGATCAATTTAATATTCCGATATCAATGGCTGCTTAATAAGTTTAACTGTTAAACAATGACATAATCTAGACGGTGGGAATTATTGCATACCTAGAGAGCTCGTTATGTAAGTTAATTCAATCTGAATTCCCAAGGCGGAGTTTACTAGAAGACGAGACGGATTCGGCATACTTTATCAGCGTACATACATGAGAATTCATATTATATGCATACTTTCAACGCGTGCATGTTAAATAAAACTGTACTTTCAACGACGTGGTAAAGTCGCTGTTTTAAAATCGCCTCGTTGTTTTATTAAAAAGTAAAATTCCTTATAATCTAACAAAAAGACTCTAATCTTTCTCTAAATGCCCGCGAATCAACTTAAACGCCTTAATAAGACAAAAACGACGTTATTACTTAATCCGCGGAGTAGCAAAGCAACTATAATACACAACAATAAATTTCAACTCGACCACGATGTTTATCTAATAACGAACAATAGACCTTTTTTTTTAAATCACGCTTGTTAATGGTCCATGTAAATATATTCTATCTGATAAATCAGCTACAACGAACTGTAACTGTTAGACGTTCATTGTTCGCCCTGTATGCGCATTAATCACGTTACGAATAAAGTTTATTCGGGTCGATATGAAACGATGAAAAAATTACAAACAAATATCCGATCGTTTAAAATTCAACTCTTCTGCGGCGCCGAACGGTTCTCGCCGCAGGAGCTCGTCCACAATACCATATACCAGCGATAATGCGTAATTCGTTTGCCGGCAATTCATCGTAATACTCACGTCCGAGGCAAGTGTGCTTCCGGAACTGCAGGAAGCCGTCCACGCATCGGCACGAACCGTCCAGGCAGCTGCTATTCGCCACTTTCAGGGAGCACTGCTCCGGCACCAGGCAGTCGTAGCCCAAAAGCGTTGCTGAAACAAATCTCTATAGAAATACCGGAACGTAATAAATACTATAATACGCTCAATAAAGGACGTAGGTAAATTATAGGCACCAGGAGGTAACGACCATTTTAATGTAATGTGTAAATTGGGTGCAAAGTTTCTTTAATATTTCCTGGCATTACCTGTTGATTGGTGCCCTTACAAAAAACTCTCTATTTATAATTACAATTTTAGTTAATTACGTTACGTTTTCTATAACTTCAGTCAATAAAATATTATTTTTGCGTCCAATTAACCACCACCGAAATTTTGTGATTCCTATATTTTTTATCAGTTATTCAATAATTTACTTAAAAGCGAATTTATTTAGTAAACAAATTATGAAATTTCGTGTCTTCCGAGACATATTAATCGTGAGAAACGAGATTAAAATGTACAGATGACACGAGAAAATTTCCCATAGTCGGCGGTACCGTTTTTTCTCCATTCCGAGCGTAATTAAAACTGATTGCAGGAATTTTCGTTTTAATTAGACAGCGCTATAGCTAATTGCGGATGCCGCGTGTCTGCGTAAAACAAACTCGACTAATTCGCTCAGATATCGAAGGGTTGTTTACCTGAGGGGGAAAATTACCGGAAAAACGGGCGACTTACCTTGCAAACAGGAAGTCTGATTGACTCTGGCGTAGAACGGTTGACATGCGCACCTGCCTCTGTGACAAATTGACCCGGCGATGAATTCCCTGCATTCCCAATCGCTGTTGCATTCGTCGCCCAGCACGCGAATTACGTGAGACGAAGCCGATTGTCCGCAAATCTGCAAAAGAACCGCCAATTTAATTCGAATTAATCGTATAACAAACCGATAAGGCTAACGAACTCGTTCAAAACCGATGCAAAAATAATTATACAACAGGCGGTGTATTACAAAACTAAAAAAATATATAAGAGTTTATCCTTCACAAATGGTATCATCAATTAATGATTAGTTCAGTTGCTTGGGCATATCGTTTCTATTTCAACAATCAGTAAATTATTTAACTATATTCTTATTCTTAAGTAAAACTCTACCGAGTCCAAATACTATATTTCTGCAAAACTGGGAACCAAAAGTGTTATTAAACCAACTATAATACTAGAAAAAAATATCTAATTGAGTACAATAATACCGAATTACCTTAAGAGTGATATGTTTGAGGAAAATTGCGAACAAATGACCGCGAATTTCCCGACTGCACAACACTAGCACCAGCACGTAGGTGAATATTTGACGATGCATTTGCGGAGGAAACTTTGTATTGTTTACGAATGTAGCGAAAGGATGTTGCCGTTTATGAATATAAAATGTTTCTATCGAATTACTATTATTCGAAAAAAATGCCGACATCCGATCCGTTTGCTAAATACGACGAATTTGAACAAAACTCTCGACCTTTTGTACGGACAAGACGAGACAAGACAAGGCAACAAAAGAAAATGCAAATTAACACTGTTGTATATAAATTAATGGAAGTTAATTTAACATACCCATCGGATTAGATTTTAATGAACGCAATTAAATAATTTCCTCCTATCCTATTTAGTAAGCGATATTATAAAATTTGCGAAACGCGAAAATTTGTCTCATTATCTATTTGATCGATAATTTGAGCGATCGTTCGTGAGAGTAGGTCAAGAAAAAGCGTCGGTGCATCACGAAATCGAAACCGTTTTAAACGATCTCACCGAATTATCTTCCCCCAATTAAAACTAATCGAAACAAACTTGAATTTCGATAATAATCCACTTGTGGTAGATCTTACTCGGCATTGTTCAAAATTATTATCACCCAATTATATTGATTTCACCTCATAAATCTATATGCAATCAATCACAGCTGGTGTAGGGGATGAGATAACATTTTAAACACCCTGTCAAATTCAACCAAAACGGACACTGCAAGTACTATCTCTTTCCCATGTTTAACGGTCATTACCGTAAGGTGTTAAAATTTTGTACGCCAATACACGTTTTATTGTTGAGATGGTAATCATTATACTTATCGTATTAGTTTAACAGTTGTAACAACGACCACAACAGATAGACTTGCTCTGTAGTACCGGCGGTATTAGAAACTTTCTTTGGGTATAAGTTGGCCATACACGTCCAAAATTGCGTTAAGTACCGCCAATTTTCCATGCGCAGATTCTTAAACTTAAATTTCACACACTTAAATAAGGGTGTCAAATATAAGCAGGGTGCTTAAAATACTAATATTAACATTATTATATGTACTACTGTGGATAAGTTTTTATATGAAGAAATAGCCAAACTTTTGTGTATCAACAATACGTAACTGGTGAATATCTCTTATACTAGCATGTCTAAAGGTGATATTAAGGTTTATTTTTTGACATATGTATGCTATTATTACAGTGATTAACTTTTAGTTGAATATTCCTGGAAGCTAAACATGAACTCGTGAACTCGTTCGTGAAATTTACTAGGAAACGCCGAACTGTAGTAAGGAGAAAATAAGGGCAAACTAAAACCAGTATAGCTCCTTTGAATTTTTACACTTGCGTCGTTAAAGCCGTATCATTTTCATTGTCATTGTCGTCACCTGCGGTAAGATAAATTAATGTTTGCTGTTGTTTCGTTCCCCTCGCTCTTCTTAAAATGCAATAACTTATATCGGAACACTCGCAACATTAAGTAGGAAATCTAGATGAAGAAGAAACGAGTATTCCCCGATTAACGTGAATATTTCAGCGGGCGTTTCCCGATTAACGAAGAAATATTCTAATCGGCTCACCTGCGCATAAAATGAGCAATTAACTCTCGCCCGAACTAAATTATTTTTTATAACTAACGACTAGTGCCTACTCGCATTATATCCGATAACGCGCTCGTCTTGAGATCTACAAAGATTAATGTTACGTAGGAAATTTCGTAATTAAGTAGAATTTAATTTTTGTTCCTCGCGTGAAAAATCTTAGATAACATACAGAAACTTTCCTGAGGTGTTGTGATCAGGTAAAATCATCGATAAATAGTACGAAATGGTCCGTGCAGAAGTTAACAGAGGATTAATTTACTAGCTATGTAAATATCCTGACTAATTGGTTAATTATAACTAACTTAAAATAAACAGTGGTGCTTTAACGATATGTAAATCATGTTGAATCCTTGAAGGCCAACGCACGATAACGAAGTTCATGTGCTTTGTTAATTTTCAGAGGGTGATGATGTCTTTCTATAGGGATTCATCGTATGTTATTAGAGCTTTTTTCTCAGACCAAGTCAACAACCCAGACGCAAACCCTTTGGAACAATCATCGACCATAAATTTTTCGGCTTTGATATTGCAACCCGATATTAAAAAAAAAACGTTGTATATCGTACGTCCGACTGCGAGTCGATAAATGATATATTGTTATTACGGTTTTCGCAGGAAAAAAAAAACCTCTGCCCGCCATCAGTCGAACATGATTCGAAATGCACGCGGTTACATGGGGGAAAATCAAACCGCATAAGTTACGTACGTTCGGTTTTTATTTATGCGCCCAAAGGGAATCGAAAAAGGGATTATTTTACCTATAAGATTTTTTTATTCGATGCAATAAAATTTGCGTTTGATGAAGTTTTCGAACGATCCTGCCGCCGAACTCGCATCATCTCGCCGTGTAATTTTCAATATACCAGTATTTCAGTAAATCGTCTTATCTCTATTTGCATCGACTTTTGTATCCTTAACTAACAATTAACTGTGACATGTTACGTTTGCCGGACACATAATGATAATGATTTTCAAGATTGCGCATCCTGCGAAACCTGATCTCTTCGGATACAAATTTAAAAAAAATGTGTTTTTTAAATAAACCGTTTTTAACCCTGAATTATTTACTTATCTAACAAGAAATTGTATACAAAATAAGGAAAATTTAACTACAACAGTCGATAAAATATAATTTTATTTTAAATGAAATATTCATTCATTGTTACTATTCCAATTCCCTTAAAAATCTATTTTCAGTAAGTTTTGCATAATCGATAGATGGCTGAATCATGTAAATAAAAATTTCATAGTGGCTTTTTGGGCCATCCTGTACAGTAAGATTTCCAGTTTCGCTTCCTCGTTTGTAACCATAGAGGAAACGTCAGCGTATATTTGCGTATTAATTTTTAGTCATATCGATATTACCAACGGCGGTAATAAAACGACGATATAGCTTCCGGGAAATTCAAATTTTCACGCAGAAAAAGCTATATCTATTACGGAATTAATTTGTGTACATAACTGCAGTTTAATTAGTCGTTCATTTAATTATTCGAAAAATTTATGAAAAAAATTAACACGTGGCAACGTCGACATACGTATCGAATCCAGAGTTTTTTGACTTCTTAGATCTATTGTAAATAGCAATTTTTCCAAATAACGTAAGACCATACTCATTTCAGTCAGTTTTCATTATTCCTTCGGGCACCTCATGTTTTCCGCTATTAGCGTCGATCTGTAGATATCTCTTGCGTTCGTTTCTATCTTACATCTCCGGTTTATTAGCGCAAATTAGTGTGTTGCAGGTAATAAGAAACTTGATATGGTGCAAGTAGACGCTTCCTATCTGCATGCTACACCTATATTACGGGAATAAAATGTTGCGCAGCCACTGGTACATACATAGACGGTGAAATCCGCTAGAATGGGGGGCGTAATTGTCGACGTATAGGAGTTAAAGCGGGCGAAATAAATAAATCGCGTCTTCTAAATGCATTGAAGAGGTGCATATTAAATGCCGCAAAACCGAATCCGGTCAATTTTCGATTCGAAACGTCGAGGGCGAGGGGCAGCCGACGACGGCCTTAACTAAATGGAAATTTATTCGCCGGCCGGGGAATTAATTCGGCGACACATGTTGGATTTGTCGCGAATTTATAGTGATTTTTTTCGATTCGTATTATTACGTTATTTATTACGTATACATATAGCGTAGGATATACAAAATATCTGAGTTGAATTGTCTATGAATAAATAGGGAAAAGTAGCGTAAAAGTAGACGTGTAATTAAACATTCCAAAGTAACGATGTAATGGAATACTTTTAAAATAATTTACTTCGTACAAATAAGATTCCACAAGAAAACAAAACTTATTAGCTTAAACATTTTTTAACCATCAAAGCAATTCCCATACAAAAAACAACTATCCACAGTGCTATACATATCTACTATTATTAGATTACGTGAGTTCGTAATACTCTTGGCAAAAAGCTCGCCAACGTTGTTGTTGTAATTCTTTTTTCTTTCCTCCATCTTATTTCTATTGATGTAATTTATTAAACAGTATTCACACCGGTTATTTGATCGTCGGGAGATTTTTGCGGTTTTCGTTCGATCGAGCCGTGTAAACCGAAAAATAGTAAGTTTTGCATTAAAGTTTAGTGCCGACGAATTGATTCGATACGTTTGATCGTCGTTTCCATAAATCCCGATTGGGCGAAACGAATCGACAAACGGGTTTCATTGAACGCCAAATTCAATATTCTAATTTAGAAATTTTTCGGTTATTTTATCGCGCGCGAGAAAAAATATTTTATTTTTTAACGAATACATTAAAACTCGATTTTTATGTAACCTTTTCCTATTAAATATTCTCGATGGAACAATAACAAACAAGTGTGAGTTTTATAAAGAATAGATTAATTAAACGACTTGTCAATAGTGAAAAAAAAATTGTCGCCAAATAACTCGTTTCTCTATTTTAATCCTTTCTAGTCATTTTAACATAAATAACAAATTTAATGAAAATTTTTCGAGTTTATTAACCTCGATCGTAAATTTCGCGCGTACGTATGGCGTTTTTATCGGCGATTTTCTAAATACAGCGAGCTTAAGCATCTTATTGTATCGGTCGAGTACTCGTAAGTACGAATAAGGTTTACAGTTTTATTGAATTAATGAAACCCATTGATCTTTGCTGGTTATCGGGCGAAATCTTTCATTCAGCTGAAAAATTACCAGGAAATAAAATCTGCGGCGTACTCAACAATACAATAGCAACGACCGAAGAGAGCGCAGAGGAGCTTTATAAAGTATAATATCCAGCCGAGCATTTTTCCGCATTAATGAAGATTGCGCTGTTAAAACACGCATTTACTCCTCGTTGAAAAATTTACTTCCAGTCTTAACCCTTGTTAACATTTTATTTCAAATTAAAAACACTCGAAGGGATTGATTGCTTTTCAACTCGTATGTTAAAACGATTATTTTGGCGTAGAATTTTTCTCCAACTATAAAACTGTTCTCTTTAGTTATAAAATAAGGAG